TGGCGATCTACAGTTGGCTTTATTAAGAAATGGTTGTGGCATTTTGCATGTTAATGCCTTGTTTCATTATAAATGAATCCTTGCATTGTGGTTTATAGTTTTGTGACTCTCATTGATAATAAATTGGTGTGGCTAGCAGTTCTGTTATTTTGAATATATCTATGTATGGCTAGCAGTTGCGTCATCATGAATACATACTTATGTTGAATATATTGGTATGGCTAGCAGATGCGTTATCATGAATACAAACCTATGTTGAATATATTGGTATGTCTAGCAGTTGCGCCATCATGAATACATACTTATGTTGAATATATTGGTATGTCTAGCAGTTGCGTCATCATGAATACATACTTATGTTGAATATATTGGTGTGGCTAGTAGTTGCGTCATCATGAATACATACGAGGGAAGATCCAAAAGTTTCCGGCCTAACATAGTTCTAGTTGATGGATTTTCAAAATGATAGTGTCATTTTTCAATGTAGTCTCCCTGTACTTCGATGCACTTGGCCCATCTTCTTGGCAGCATCTCAAGTCCATTTCTGAAGAAATCAGGAGCATGACCCTCCAACCACTGGTTAACAGCTATCTTGACCTCATCATCATCATCAAAGCGTTGCCCTCGTAGAGATTTTTTGAGTTTCCCAAATAGGTAATAGTCACTGGGTGCTTGATCTGGAGAATAGGGTGCGTGCGGTAATAATTCCAGATGGCATTGTTCCGCTGCATCACGAGCAACTTGGCTTGTGTGAACAGGTGCATTGTCCTGTTGATGCAAAACTCCAAGACGGACTTTGTGTGGCTTGGTTTCATCCAGTTTAGCTTTTAAAGTATGCAACAAAGCAGCATAATATTCTCCATTCATTGTAGTACCTCTTGGAAGGTAGTCTACTAAGATAGGACCTTCACAGTCCCAGAAAATGGTGGCCATCATCTTTTTGTTGGATGGGGTGGTGCGAAACTTCTTTGGAGGTGGGGACCCCATATGTTTCCATTGCATTGACTCATGTTTGGTTGAAGGCTCAAAATGACGCACTCATGTTTCATCACAAGTGACTATTCTCTCCATAAAACCTTGTGGATCAGTGTTATACATGTTCAAAAGCTCTCTTGCAACAGCAACTCGTTTTGTTTTCATGTCCTCTGTGAGCATACGGAGCACCCATCTTGAGCTTCACTTTTGCATGTGTAAATCTTCATGAATTATTCTACAAACGGTACCATATGATAATCCAGTTTCTTCTACAAGTTCACGTATAGATTTCAGCCTATCTTCCAATATTGTTCGATGTACAAGATCAACATTTCTATCTGAAGTGACATCTTTAGGTCTTCCAGAACGTGGTGCATCATCAATTGATTCCTGTCCACGTTTAAATTCAGCCACCCAAAATTTTACAGTAGAATAGGAGGGAGCACCTTCCCCATACACATCCTTAAGTCTATCGTAGATTTCCTGCCCTCCATTTTCTTCTTGATATAGAAACTTTATCACAGCTCTATATTCAGTTTTCTCCATTGTGATCACTGATGTGCAGCCACTGTGACCTGACCTCATTATGAATATTCTCAAAATGAGGCTGTGACCCCTAGAGGTTAATCATATGCATAAGTAATGTTCATACATAAGCAACATTTGAACTGTGAAGAATGGTTGCTCTCAGACATCGGGAACTATGTTAGGCCGGAAACTTTTGGATCTTCCCTCACCTATGTTGAATATATTGGAATGGCTAGCAGTTGCATTATCATGAATACATACCTATGTTGAATATATTGGTATGTCTAGCAGTTGCGTCATCATGAATACATACTTATGTTGAATATATTGGTGTGGCTAGCAGTTGCGTCATCATGAATACATCTATGTTGAATATATTGGTGTGGCTAGCAGTTGCGTCATCATGAATACATCTTTGTTGAATATATTGGTGTGGCTAGCAGTTGCATCATCTTGAATACATACCTATGTTGAATATATTGGTATGTCTAGCAGTTGCGTCATCATGAATACATACTTATGTTGAATATATTGGTGTGGCTAGCAGTTGCGTCATCATGAATACATCTATGTTGAATATATTAGTGTGGCTAGCAGTTGCGTCATCATGAATACATACTTATGTTGAATATATTGGTGTGGCTAGCAGTTGCGTCATTATGAATACATCTTTGTTGAATATATTGGTATGGCTAGCAGTTGCCTCATCATGAATACATACCTATGTTGAATATATTGGTATGTCTAGCAGTTGCGTCATCATGAATACATACTTATGTTGAATATATTGGTATGGCTAGCAGTTGCGTCATCATGAATACATACTTATGTTGAATATATTGGTGTGGCTAGCAGTTGCGTCATCATGAATACATCTTTGTTGAATATATTGGTATGGCTAGCAGTTGCCTCATCATGAATACATACCTATCTTGAATATATTGGTATGTCTAGCAGTTGCGTCATCATGAATACATACTTATGTTGAATATATTGGTATGGCTAGCAGTTGCGTCATCATGAATACATACTTATGTTGAATATATTGGTGTGGCTAGCAGTTGCGTCATCATGAATACATCTATGTTGAATATATTAGTGTGGCTAGCAGTTGCGTCATCATGAATACATCTTTTTGAATATATTGGTATGGCTAGCAGTTGCCTCATCATGAATACATACCTATGTTGAATATATTGGTATGTCTAGCAGTTGCGTCATCATGAATACATACTTATGTTGAATATATTGGTATGGCTAGTAGTTGCATTATCATGAATACATACCTATGTTGAATATATTGGTATGTCTAGCAGTTGCATTATCATGAATACATGCTTATGTTGAATATATTGGTTTGTCTAGTAGTTGTGTCATCATGAATACATACTTATGTCATGTATGTTGAATATATTGGTATGGCTAGCAGTTGCGTCATCATGAATACATACCTATGTAGATTATATTGGTATGGCTAGCATTTGAGTCATCATGAATACATACTTATGTTGAATATATTGGTATTTCTAGCAGTTGCGTCATCATGAATACATACTTATGTTGAATATATTGGTATGGCTAGCAGTTGCGTCATCATGAATACATACTTATGTTGAATATATTGGTGTGGCTAGCAGTTGCCTCATCATGAATACATACCTATGTTGAATATATTGGTATGTCTAGCAGTTGCGTCATCATGAATACATACTTATGTTGAATATATTGGTATGGCTAGCAGTTGCGTCATCATGAATACATACTTATGTTGAATATATTGGTGTGGCTAGCAGTTGCGTCATCATGAATACATCTATGTTGAATATATTGGTGTGGCTAGCAGTTGCGTCATCATGAATACATCTTTGTTGAATATATTGGTATGGCTAGCAGTTGCCTCATCATGAATACATACCTATGTTGAATATATTGGTATGTCTAGCAGTTGCGTCATCATGAATACATACTTATGTTGAATATATTGGTATGGCTAGCAGTTGCATTATCATGAATACATACCTATGTTGAATATATTGGTATGTCTAGCAGTTGTGTCATCATGAATACATACTTATGTTGAATATATTGGTATGGCTAGCAGTTGCGTCATCATGAATACATACTTATGTTGAATATATTGGTATGGCTTGCAGTTGCGTCATCATGAATACATACTTATGTTGAATATATTGATATGTCTAGCAGTAGCATCATCATGAATACATGTACATACTTATGTTGAATATATTGGTTTGTCTAGTAGTTGCGTCATCATGAATACATACTTATGTCATGTATGTTGAATATATTGATATGGCTAGCAGTTGTGTCATCATGACTATAAATGTTTGCCAATAAAATTACAACATTAAAAGTCCAATTTTTTCAAAGTTTTGTAATAGACTTGATAGTAGAGGTGCCATAGTAGGTATGTGAAAGTGTACATAGTATCATATGACCTCCAGGGATATTGTTTCCCTCTAAATTGTTTTTCCAGGGACCTAATTACAACTCATTTCCGAGCACCTTAATAGTTAATCAGGCAAGTTAACACTTTAAAAGTGAGAACTAATCCCTCGTCGACCATAATTCTACATGGATATGTATATGTAAGTTCTCTTAAAAACGTGTAGCTTAACCTCACTAATATATCAGATGAACGATAATTCAATTTACAACAAAACAGATTGATTCATTAAGGCAATGCAGAATCTTTGTTAAATCAATGTCAGGTACACTCTAATTGGAGTGTCATCGGCCATTTTCTGAATGTACAATGTGCCACGTGAATGGTGTAACATATATGCATAAATTATTGATTAATTAAAGTCATACATGTAATTGTAATGTTATTTACCATTTCTACCATGAATATTCAAAAATTTGGTGATATTAAAATATTAACATTTATTGTAAAATGGTGTGAAATCTGTATACTTGAAATACAACAGGCAAATAACTTTCATAAGATCAAAAACAACTTTTGAATGAAAACCATGCAATTTAGTATAGATACACTCTGTTTACATTAACAAAAGCTTGTTGGCAATGAGGTGGTAGCCTACAGGGCGATCATGGAGCACTGCATGGTTCGCTGTGTATAATTTAATGGAAATTGCTCTTCTTGTGTGAGAATTGAGCTTTTCTTATGTGATCATTTATTTTGGCTCACCTGTGTTTAGTTTAAGTTCTTTTGCACAAAGATAAGAAAAATGCTATTGGGCCTATTAAGAGACTTTTATTTTCCCTCATATCCCTTGAAATGAAATAATAACAAATAAATAAGGAATGACCCTCACTTACAGCTTCCACAACTGAACACTTGCGACTTAGACACACCCACTACTTTTTAGATTAATGGCAATAAAATCTCTTGATGAAAAAAAACAACTACTTTTTGTGCCAATCTGAGCTGGTGTCAGAAACATGTGTTTGAGTTTTTATCAAATAATTGATTGATTTTGATAAAAGTATTGAGATAAGAATAGGTGTAGAAAGTTCAATCTAGAGGTTTGCCTTGGGTGTGTGTCTGAACCGCTATAATGCTTCTCTCCTGTCTTTGGTTGTCAACTCTCCTAGCTTCAGTCTGTTGTTTGTCACTTCATGTTAAGGTGAAAGGTAAGTCATCAACCAAACATGTCTGGAATCTTACGCCAGATGCCTTTGTGAAATTTTCTATTTAAATCATACCAAAAACAAAAACATTATTATCCCAGCCATTTGATATTCTATTCATTATGATTTAGATTTTGTAAAATAAGATGTTCGTTATATTTGAGATACAGACAGTAAATGAGGCAAATCAACTCCTTAATGTTCACTCTATTTCAGATGCTACAGATAAAGTAGTGAAACTTTCAGCTGAGGAAAAGGCAGAAGAATGGAAGAAAATCTACAGCAATGCCCCAGATGTGAGTTATGGTTCATCAATATTAATCTTAATAAAGTGGTGGAGCTTTTGAAATGAAATTATACTGGAAGCAGTGTAGCCTTGAAAATAGTATACTGACTTATTGCTATGCGAGAAGCACAAATCTTGCTATTCTAATTACTTTAGTAGTCATTTGCCGTCCCTATAACAATCCATCTCAAACAAAGTAAACATGCAATATTAGAAGTAAGAATGATGATATTTGCTCTCATTGATGAAAATAGCAATTTAACCATTTCCCTTTAAAGGGGGAATCAGAAGTGGAGGAATATTCCTGAAAAATAATCAACAGATATCTAGTGTTAAAACAAAAGCATTATATTCTCTTAACTTTATTTTATCCTATGGTTTTGGAGGGATATCATTTTTATCCATTGGTGAATATTGACCATCTCCACTGGGCGAGTGTCACAATAAATCAATGAAATCTCATAAACAACTATAACTTGAATTGAACTGGTGAAATATGAGTGACAACATTTTAACTACAGTATTAGGTGTGCAAACGAGGGCCAAAAGACGGTATTTTCCCAGGATTTATATACAACAGTAGATAAAGTGTCAGAAATATTGAGTTATTATTTATTTGTGCAATATTCTTTTAATCAGAGATTTTTTGCTTCAAAAAAATGAGTTATCTTTCCACAAGTAGAGACCCCCACCTCTGAAGATGGATTCGGCATATTTCATGTAGTAAGCAGTACTTAATTAAAAACTTGAAACTACTTGTACCTTTAAAAGGCAATTAATTTAATTTCTACATGAATAATTTCTTCCAAGCTTTGATAATTACAGAGAAAGTTTATGTCCTAGTCTATTGATTGTCTAAGTTACAAATCATGATGTGTCAAATATATTTCAGGTTTATTTAGAATTACAGCTAACCCTTCAATATTAAAGGTGCAACAATTAGTGCAGAGGGGCCATTCAACGATCATCGACCAGAGTCAAAATATATTAAAGTTTGGACATTTCATCAAGACTAACATATATTTTCATTATGTACAAAGAAACCCCCTGGATGAACATTACATCAGCTGATATTTCTCTTGAAAGGTGGTGGATCGTAAAAATCTATAAGTGGGACTCCCTTTATAGAAGTTTTGAACTGAATTTACACTTCTTAATGCTGACATTGATAGTTTATCCATACATTTTAAGAAAATAGGTATGTCAAAGAAGATGATAAGCCAGCAGTCCTCTCTCTGCTCTCTGCAGTCCTTGTTGCCGCTTTAAGATATAAACCATAGGGTAAGGTCGATAGAAATAATTTCATGAAAATAGTTGAAAGCGACCGCATCCTCCTTTAAGAGCCAATCCCTGGGAATTTTTTCATGCTGCTGAAGAGAAGTATGTGCTCTGCAAAGGCTTCAAGTACAAACTATGATGATGGGAGACTGCTTTTTAGATGTAGACGCCCCCCCCCCACCTCCTCCCATTGGAAAATCTTGGGGACACCCCTGATTCAGTGAATCCATCCAAATTCTCAAGCATTGACTCTGGTTATATGGCATGTCTAATTACAAGGAGCATGGAATCTTTTCAAGGAGTGCGGAATCAACTGAAGTATTTTAAGAGTGATACTGTTCCACAAATTCATTCATCAGATATCCAAGAAATTGCATACCTTTGACAAATTGTATTTGCATTGGCACCTGATGATGTCAAAATGATGACTCAACGTCTTTAAAATCTTCAATACATTCACCAGATTTATGCATAGTAGTTCAAGTAAGACGAGGTGCGGTTGCGGATACGTGGATGTCCATGGTTTTAGTATAACCTGTTGTAATATCTTTAATTTTAACTTAATTTAGGTTCAAGCACCAACATTCAATTGTCAAGTAGACCGTACCCCCAGAACGCCTTCTAGTGGTATGTAACAATACTCCAATTTTTAAATATTTTATAATCTGGCCCTTTCTAGTTTCTAAAAAAAGGAAGAAATGTATTATTTAATTTAATTGTTTTGGACCACTCCGTATTTCATGGACTATATACTTTTGAATGCAGTTCATGAGCTGCGACCTCAGGATATTAACGTGATTGCTGCACTTGGTGACTCTATTACCGTAAGTTGATATTCTGTTTTCCATGCAATATCGATCTGTCAACTCTCTTGTTAACATAATCTAATATACAATAATTTGTGGGAGAAGATGACGCCACAATGCAAATAGGACATTGCCTTCAAGGCCTTGACTATCCAAAAAAGACTGGGGCAATACATTGTTGCACATTGATACTAATTTACTTAAATGTCATCAATGCCGAAGGTAGATGTGGATCAATACAAAGTTCCCCACTGATTGATATTACTTCCAACCTGCCAACATGTTTCTACTCAGGTTTTGTTATTATGATAGGATGAAGTCATCTTCGTGCAATGCATTATCAATACACATGGTCATGTTCAATAACAATTGCTATACAATCAAAACTGACCCTGAAAAAGCTTTTACCAATATGCCAAGATGTTTCTGTATGTGTATTCATATATTATCTTGTACAGGCAGGAATGGCAGCTGGAGCTGAGAGCATGTTAGAGATTATGGGAGAATGGAGAGGTCACTCTTGGAGGTAAATGTTTCTCCTCAACTGTTTGGTCTTTTGGCATTTTGACTATTTGTATGACTGCATCTTCAATGGCCCGAATCTCCAAAAGTCTTTAATTAAAAATTGAATTATGTTATTTCCACAATTTGTTCCAGAAAATCCATTGAAAATCTATTTTAGTAAAATCTGTCTATATATCTAAATGGAACACCTTTGGTACATCTAAAAAGTGTTCCACTTGGGAGGGGTTCCACTTTATAGGTTCATTTCACAACATTAAGTTAACTGGTCTTGAGACTGAAAAGTTTTCCACTATATATACTAACAGACTGACTGAGGTGTTTCACTTTACAGGTTTCACTGTATAGTTCCCTTGTGCTTTTTACACTCTAAATATATTCAATAAGCAATAAGCATTTCAAATCAACATATCGACCATGAGAAGGGAAAACAAAGTTTCCTTCCTTGCAATATCATACACAACATGGAATATACATATGGTTATAATTCACATATCATCTCAGCTCCACCCTGTGGTCTTGAAATGCACAGGTAGCATCCGCAGAAGCACAATAGTATATTATATACTTGTATGCTTAAGGTTAAATGCAAACAAAATGAGCTGGTTTTACACTTTGTCTCTCATCGTAGGAATTAATAATCTAACATACAATTAATCATGAAAGGTCCATGTGCAGTATGGCAAGTGCTTTTAGACGGTCATATCTTTCACCATGAGTATTTTCTGGGCATAAATACAGTGGTTTTTATTAAAACAATTCAAAAATTATAAATTGGGACCCAACGTCAACAATTTTTTCAAAATGTTGAAGTTATTTGCTCAAAAGAGGATCTTTTTTTCTGATTTTTATTGCATGAAAACATTATTCAACGAGGGATCTAAACATCTTCAAAAGTAGAAGGGTATTGAAAGTCTAGTTTTGAAGATATCAATCCTCGATCACCAAAATAATGCTGAAAACAATGGATAGCATGAGTTTTCCCTATGGGAAAATAACATGGGAAATGTGGTTTTTAACTATAACGTATTTCAATACTTATCCCCTTTTAAGAAGTTATTAATATAGTGTAGAAGAAACTTTTGATACATTTAAATTGAGAAAAACAAGATCCTCTTTTTAGAAAATAAGCCTTACATTTTTAAAAAAGTGACAAGGTGGGGTCCTAATCCATAGTTTTTCAGAAGGCTGGATTGATTTTACTATCATGGGGACTTCGCTTTAAAGAAAACGTTTAAATAAAAACCACTGTATTCATACCCAGAAAATACTCATTGTGAAAGATATGACTGTCTAAAATCATTTGCCATACTGCACATGGATCTTTCATGATTAATTGTATGTTAGATTATTAACTCCTACGATGAGAAACAAAGTGTAAAACCAGCTTCTTTTTTGCATTTTTCTGCCCTTTTTAATAGGGGTGGGACGGATAACCGAAATACCGAAAAACCGTGGTTCATAGCCTTCGGATCGGTTTTCGGATCACGGCCCTACTTTCGGATCAGCTTTTCGGATCGTTTTCGGATTAATATTTCATTGATCAAGTATGAATAAAACAGTTAAAAACACTGTTTTACAGCAACAATTTTGATATTCCTAGTCCCTACCTTGTCCGTCTTGTCTGTTGCTAGCTCACTCGTTTACTAGATTCGTTTCATATCCGCGTTTTCGTATCCCTCGGTAATCAATCATGTGGTCCCTGGTACTATATTCTTTAGTCGTGTACAAGCATAAATTAGTTATTTTATTGGTTGTATTAAAAGAAAGTGACAGTCAGCAGTGAAGTCAGAGACAAAGCAGCTAAGCATGTCAATCAATACAAATCCTTAAAATGAATGAACCGAACCGAAAAAACCGAACCGACGGCTGATGATCCGAAAAACCGAACCGAACCGAAACGAACCGTCCCATCCCTACTTTTTAAGCAGATTAACTTATTCATGAAGAATATCAACTGTACAGTCTAATAAATGTTTTAATTTCAGCATTGGAGGAAGGAACAGCTATGAGATGGGCATCAGAACCATGCCAAGTAAGTTCAATTGAACATTACAATGTATAATTGCACATTACCATGCACACTTGAAGAGCAATAACAATATTGTACTAAACCATCCACAGTGCACAATTAAACAGTGCCATGCTGATCCATGCATTTACAAACAAATCTTGTTTATTGCGCAGACATCCTGAGAAAGTTTAGTGAGTTCCTGCGTGGTTTCTCTACAGATGAGGTGGACGTGGATGATCAAGCAGCTGGCTTCAATGTTGCTGTGTCCGGATCAACTGCAGAGTGAGTACATACATAACAAGGCATTAGCATGACAAAATGTCACCACCTAGTTGCTCACAATATTATGAGTTCAATCTTAAGTCAGATTTGAATTTCTGAGAACTTGTAGATGATTTTGAAAAAATAAATTGGTCAATTTGAAGCAAGTTGAAAAAGACCTTTTTGAACATAAGAAGGTCATTGAAGGTGAAATCTCAAATCTATAGTCAGATTTGAACTTCTGATAACTAATGTAGATGATTTTGAAAGAAAAGATTGGTCAATTTGAAGCAAGTTGAAAAAAATACTTTTTGACCTTGAAAAGGAAACAATACATGGCATGATGTGCTTCATGGGGCATTGATCAGTGATATCCCCTTCATTGCGATTGTTTTAACTATAGTGTAGCTACATAAGCCAAGGGACATCTATAATTACATTAAAATCATTTAAAAGATTTTTCATAAAGGAAAAGTCGAGGGATTGAGGAAAGTAACTCTGATTATATATGTTCTTCATTCTATGGTAAGTGTACTGTATGTTGTACGGATGACTCTAATTAATGATGTTTCACTTTGTGGCTTCTCTCTTTGTTGTGTTTGAAGAGATATTCTGGAACAGGCACAAGACATGGTGCGTAAGATGAATGCCAACACTGATGTTGACTTTGCCAATGACTGGAAACTGGTAACATTGCTGATTGGAGGAAATGACCTGTGTCGTGTCTGTGATGACTGGGTAATCTACGTATATTAAACATTTACTAAAATGAAAGTTTGATCAGCTTGATTCACTTAAGATCATAAAAATCGCTTGTCAATCTACTTGTCATTCCATTATTTCTCAGAATTTGGGTGTTTGCACAAAGACATGAGAGAGCCTCTAATTTATTACTGACTGTACCATTAGGTTTCTGGCAATGATTTCAGGACCTACTAGGGCCAGAGAACTACTTGAACAATGTCCGTTCTACCCTTGATCACTTCCACTTCAACATGCCCCGTGCCCTCATCAATGTTGTCCTGATGTTTGATATCACCCCTCTACCCATCATGAGTGACAATATTCTTTGTGATGGCTGGCAAGAGTAAGTAACCTTATTTCATCAATGTTGTCTTGATGTTTGATATCACTCCTCTACCCATCATGAGTGACAATATTCTTTGTGATGGCTGGCAAGAGTAAGTAACCTTACTTTTTAAACTTCATAAACACCTGGTATATCGCCTGTGGCTTGAATAAATCCGATACTACATATTGACTCATTGCATATTGATTGTACGTTTCTTGCAGTATTGCCTGCCCCTGTGCAACTGACCCTGATGACAGACAGCGACTGAGGGAGATTCAGCGTGCATATGGTCATGTCCTGCAAGAGCTGATTGCCAGCAACCGTTACGAAGACCGCGATGACTTCACTGTGGTCCTTCAGCCAACACTTTATGATGCTACACCACCAATGGATGTGAGTTTAGAAAGACAAAATGAAAAAATAAAATGCGAAAAAAAAGTTTTGTTAATGAGCCCTTAATTCATCCTTTACGGCAAGAATATCTGAAATGTTCATATTTCATCATTGAAGAACATTGGTATCCTGGATGAGCAAATTTATAATAGAACAGTTGATTTTTGCAGGAGAATGGTCGGCCAAGGCGAGAATATTGGTCCCCAGATTGCTTCCATCCTGGCCTACTTGGTCACTATGCCTGTGGGATAGGACTCTGGAATGGAATGGTATTTATTCTTAATATTATTTTGTGTTTAGGGAGTCATTTCTACATGCTTTATATACCAATACCAAAATGTATATATGAACATATGTCTTTTTCAATCAAAAAGGAGAACTTCCAGTTTGCAAACATATGAAGAGGATACTTAATCAAATTGATATTTTAAATTATTACAAATGTCCATGCAGCATTTAAAAGAAATATCCTTCACTTAACTGTTATAACACATGAGATCTTATAAGATACACATATATATTGCATGAATATATATTTGTTATGTTGTTGCACTAGTTTGAACCTGTGGGCAATAAGACAACAGTCCTCAACTGGGAACCTACTGAGATCAAGTGCCCTACTGCTGTAAGTATATACATCCTTATGTTGCAATCAAAGTATGATTTAGGTGGTCCTTGTGTAGTGAATTGTATGGTTTTAAGGTGGTCCTAGTGTGGTGAACCTTGTATGGTTTTAAGGTGGTCCTAGTCTGGTGAATATTGTATGGTTTTAAGGTGGTCCTAGTGTCATGAACATTGTATGATTTTTGCTATTGTATTATTATAGGAGAGGCCATATATCTTCACTGCTAACAACAGTGCTAGTGCACCAGGTGAACTGGTGAAGCAGACCATCTACCCAACAATTGAGCTGTAACCATAGAAAGCAATGTGAACCATACCATTTTCAGACTTTGTTCTTCTAATTGACCAAATAAATACTGTACACAATCAACATGATAATTTTCTATGTACTTTGAAAATATTGTAAATCTACAACAAAATAAAAATTGACTTTCAAGCAGAAATTGTATTCCCAAAGTATGTGTATAAAAGATGGAAGATATAGGGTCAACCATATCTGAGATATCGCCCAGATTGATGGACAAAGATATTGACAGATGAATGGCTGGGTGCGCAACAGATAGATCGGAGTGCTCTATATCTCCTGTGTTCAATGAAATGTTAATAGATATAGCTTTTTTCTATGCATTAGCAAAATGTCATACATTTATTTACATTTTATCATACAGAATTGATCTAACTATGGGATAAATAATAATAATTATACACATCATATTAACATTTTCTTTATGTACACTTATTTACATTGATATTTACACTAATGAATTTAGGTGAATATCCATTATGTAGGTCTTAGAGACAAAGTCTATTCTTACTCTCAGAGGAACCTGTTTTCTTAGGTTGAATCTGATAACTTTGAGATTCCATGATATCTTGTGATCATTTTAAAGTAGTAGTCCTAGACCCTATTATATTGTGTCAAACACTTGCTGAGTTATAAGTCCAACATTTGGTGGAGCATTCAATAAGTGAGACCCCTGTAGGTTCTGATACATTAAAAGACCCCTTGAGTGTAATTTGATCTACTGTGAATTGATTCCTGTCCTAGTGGGGTCCTAGATATGGTAGATTCCCCCTGAAAGTACAAAGAATAGATTACACACTCTGGTAATATAATAATGTGCAAGAAAAAACTGCATACAATAAATAATACCCTTGTAACTATTATGCCCTAGTGACAGTAACTTATTCAGATTTTTAATAGTAGAATTGAATGAATGACAAAACCCCTGATTGTAAGAGAGAACTTTAGAATAATGTCAAAGTACTCACATAAATGGATCTCATGGCCGTGCGTTTGTTGGTGGCCTCATGTATCTGTTGTATTATGTCCAATTCTCCCTTTAGGTTGAACCATCTCTCCTGCATCCTGCTTTGCCTTAGAGACTGCACAGCTATCCTATAGGAGCAGTTCAAGTGAATTAAACATGAGAATAATAAACATATGGCTTTCAATTATGTAGTATTAAGTAGTAGGAGAGTATATTCAATGTAGAATATACAAGGCATTATCATGCAAAATGTCATCACCTGACATTTGTTACATACATCAACTGCTGAACACCGCCAACAAAAAAGTTGGAGACTATAATAGTATGTCACCACTTGTGGTGGTGACATAAAAATAAATGTGAAGGGACCGTTTATGAGCCTGTCTTGTATTATGAATAATTGAGTTTGAAACACTTTGAGCCAAATCCTTTTTTAAATTGTTTAATGTTGAATTCCTCACCTTTCAGTGAGCAAAGCATTGATTCTATCACCAGATTCAGTATGGATGTTGTATGGAACATTGTCAAATGTCATCCTCCAGTATTTGTCTAAAGTTGGAAAAGATCGCAGTTGGAAAACAAAAAGTTTATCTCTAGGAGTATCTGGTTGACCTGGGCTAGGCTCTGGTTCACTAGTGTTGGGTGCAGGACTAGTGTGGTCATCTACTTTAGTGGCTGCAAGTATAATGCAAATTTTCTAATTTGTATATAAATAATCTGTGTCATATAAAGATCCTCCAAAGTAGGTCAATTCTGATATATGAGAGGTAGTTCAACAAAATGTTATTTCACAAAACAGTACTTTAAAGAAAAATTATTGTGTATGTTTACTTAAAGGATGAGGAGAGTTATGTCTTTAAGAAATCAAAGAAAGAATTCCATAGATATATGTATGCTTCATAATAACTTTTTATACAATTTTATTTCACTTTTACATGTCTTCTGTACCTTTGACGTAGAGTAACTGGCCCATACATGGTGTTGCTACCACAGGTTGCCAGGGGTCACTGCACTCGTATGTTTGTGGCAAGGTCATCTCACATAAAACAGCATTAGTTAGGATATCCTGTAGGAAGAGCCTGCCATTCTGTTTCACATTAAGTACCTAAAACACATATATCCAGATTCAAGAGTGACCAAAAACTGATAAACTGATCAAATTCATAGTCGAATAAAAATCTATAAATAAGTAGATGGGAATAACAAGCTAAAGCCCATCTCACTGTTTTATTGAGTCAGTAAAACCTAAAAAATAAGAAATCAAAAGATCATTATGCAATAATATATGGAAAAATATGTTCCTATTGAACATAAAATTAATAACATTTGTTTATCTTGGATTGCTTCTAGTTTGGCTAATAAAGTGTTTGGCCTCTGAAATTCTTTAAATTACTAGAGGGCACAGGCTTATGGCACAGAAAACTAAATAATCTGAAATACATAAATTTTATTCATGTACAATATGAATATATTTTTCCATATATTATTGCACAATGGTGCTTATGCAGGTCAAATGGTAAGTGTTGTATGATTGTCAAGGTGACAATCCATGATACTGACTGACAAAAACGGAAGTTACAACTTGAAACTTGTAAAAAGTTTCCCTGGAAATGTATAAGTCGTTTCATTGTGCCCGATTCATGCAAAGATTTGAAAACAATACCTTCAAGAGGAATGATTCAGCAAACAAAGCATTGAGTCCAGGGCTTAAATCCTTTAACACAATAAATATAATGTAAAGCTCCATTCTGATTAAAAGAGGGAACACTGGAACAACACTGGAACAACCAAGAGGGGGAGAAACCCCAGGGTTCAAAGATGACATACGCTTATAATCTAAATCTGTATTGAGATGACATCGTCGCTGATTGGTTTAGCGAGTCGATCATTGATTGGTTTAAAACTAGATCAATATTGAAAACTTTGAAAACTAAGAAGGAGAGTAAGTACTTCCGGGAAAGGAGGTGCGCGAAGGAGGAAATCGTATGTCATCAATTGAATAATGGGGTTTTCCCTCCTCTTGGAACAACCATTAATAAAAGTAATAGTCTTGCAATAGCTATTGAGGCCTTATGTACAACCTACAAGGTCAGTAACTTCTGAAAGGGTGCACAGCGTTAAAATGCAATGAAGTTGAAAGCAACATAAGTCATGTTTGTTTGCTCACCCAAATTTCAAATCTTCCAAATGAGACTTTTAAAAGCCATTCTACATTTGAGAACGTTTTAGATGTATAATCTGTTGTTCTAAGTGATGATTTAAATCAAATCAATATTCCAGTGTTGTGAAAAAATGCTAAACTTCATTCATACTGACCGCATCTCAAATACAAATATGATATATAAATACACTGCTTAGAGCGACTACATTGTGACTATATATAGGATCTACTCACCACCTGAGGCAGGCCAGGGAGTGGATGGATTAGACTACTAATAGACTCTGTGTGGCACTCCCTGAAATAATGTATGTCATATGGATTATATGAATAATACAGGGTGGCCCATAACTTTTTTGATGTTGCAAATACCAAAAACGAAGCAGTTATTTATACAATCAATTAAAGTTTAAAACAAATAAAAACTTCACCTCTGGGGAACTTCAGTTACGGGGGAATTATCCCCCATCCCACAATTCATATATTTCACACTGCCATCATCACAGCATACTAGCAGATAGGTGGCAGCACGCATCTTGTATGGTGGGTACTGCAAATCATCTTGTGGACAAATTGCAGGATTCAGGAACTCAAGTCTTGTAATTCTAGCAGAATCACTAGCATTTTGTACTCTTCTTGGCATTCCTTGAATACAACAACATACTGTTAATGCAAATGTACATGTATTATCGTTTTACACACACACACACATCTAAGCATTTGGCAATTACATATATAAGGGTTATGTGCTGGGAGGCTTTGGATATAGGGTATATCCTGAGGGATATGTTTATGTATTCCATACCTGATGAGGTTTCAGGGACATATCAACCGGGAATATATTCCATATCTGGGCAAATATTTTTCGTATGTCCCGCTCCATTGGAGCTCCAGTGATAACTTAACAGCATTGATTTCATTCAATGCACCATAAAGCCACGTAAAATTAAATTAGCTTGGGACCAAGTTATAAACATCGCAAAAGTCAGTGTACGGAGCCTGATGCAATATTGGAGAAAACATAAAACCAATGCTGACTGCATCCTTTTCATTCAATGTACCAAAAAGCCAAATTACTCCTCTTTGCAATTGAATATCATTTATTCACAGGGAGTCATGACTGGCCGAATAATCATTAATTTCGCAAAGTGGAGCAAAATTCAGCTCGAACCTAAGTTTTAAACATTGTAAAAATCAGTACAAGGGGCATAGGGGCTATTGGAAGAAGGTGTGACAGGTGTGGCATAGACAGTAAAGTGTTCATACTCATACTCTTGCAAGAATATATCCTATAACCCCTCCAAATTGCCACCACTTCCTTGCACATAAAGATGCGCTCATCTGTCCATGTCATGCATGGTCAGCCCTGAGTCATCTGTGGGTTAAACCAGAGAAAAGCAGCCCATGGGCAATTTTTTCTCGAGGTTTTTCAATTTCTGGTGGAGGAATTATGAGCATAGATGCTCCTGAGATAGCTCCAAAAGAAAAAGCCACAACAATTCAAGTCAGCGGAACTTCCATTGGCAGTTAGGCTTTGTACTAATTTTTGCAATATCTAAAACTTGAAGCAGAGCCGATTTTGACCCACTGTGCAAATGGAAGGATTTCTCACCCAACCATTACCACATGTGAATGAATGACATATCATTGCAAAGAGGAGAGACGTGGCTTTATGGTACATTGAATTAAATTGATGTAATCATCACTAGTTTTGTGATTTTACGAGATAACTACTTGTTGCGTTTTTTGATACGCCCTGTACATAACTGGTGTATCTCATACTTGAATGGATAAGGGGTAGAACCTTTTCCACCTTTTTCAAATGACAAGATAGGCCTGTAGTGTAAAAGCACAATTTATATTCAACATTTTTGTAATATTCCTTTAGTTCAATACAATGAAATTGTAACATTTGAACTTTTTAATTTTTTAAAATTCATAATTAATTTTTTTTAAACTTTTGAAAAATTCCCGGGAGTGGGAAGGATATATTATATCTGCCAACATATGGCTTGGAGTGGGACATATACAACATATCCTGCCCGTTCCTCAGATATATATATTCCTGGGTGATATCTAGCCCAAACCCACTCAAGTATGAGATACAGGTACTTAGCCTATATACAATGCATACAGTATATTCACCCATGAATGAAGTGATGTAACTAAGCAACAAATGATATGAACTTACCTAGGTATTTATCCCAGACTGCCACATTGCCACTGTCTAAGGCCATGGCTATGAGGGAAGTGTCAGGTGACACACAGCTATGATTGGATATAAGCTACAAATGATATGAACTTACCTAGATATTTATCCCAGACTGCCACATTCCCACTGTCTAAGGCCAGGGCTACAAGGGAGGTGTCAGGTGACACACAGCTATGCACAACCTGACCTGTACTTGGCCAGATGACATCAGGCTTACGTTCTACCTCTAAAAACATAAAACAAGATTTCATTAACACTCTATGTATTGAATGAAGTTCAATAGGACTATTAATTGAAAAGAGCACTTAGAGCAGGTATTAGGTATGGTGAATTGTACCTCTAAATATGAAATTGAACATTTAAAATAAAAATCAATTTCTCTCAAAAACACAGCTTTATCCCCTCCATGAAACATAATTATGTTTGTGGATACACATTGATATATGAACCTGCTTTGTTGCATACATTTGCCACAGATAACATGAAACAATTCAAAAATATCATTGATGAAAAACACAAACATAAAGTGTAGTTACCCTTAGATGTCTTAAGCAATGAGTAGTGCAGCAGTTGAGTCCCACCAGTCCACCATACAGCCAGGGATGAGGGCTCATCTACATAAAACACATTCATTAGTTAGTCAGCTTTATGATCTTCTGTATGTTAATAGATATAATTTCTGATGAAGCTATCACTGTATAGCCTGACAGTCATCTACATGTATATGTTCTTATAGTTACCTTTTAAGTTCTGATTGTTACCTACATGTATATTATATTATCATATATGTTCACATGCTAATTTAATAGATATAAGGTTACCTTTAAGTTCTGATTGTTACCTTCATGTATATTATATTATATCATTATATATGTTAGTTTAATAGATATAAGTTCTAATTGTATATGTTTTAATAGTCACATTTATATATGGTTACCTTTATGTTCTTGCCCCCAAGGAATCATCCTTCCCGGATTCAAAAAGTGAAATGTTGGGGTCCTAAAAATACATCAATGTAAAGCCTTGGTCATATTTGGTTTATCGTGGCCAAACAGTGGCTGTAGCTTTACAAAATCTATGTAGAAAATCTTCATTGTACAGCTTCTCCCTATATTTCATAGTTTATGCCGATCAATTCTCTAAATTTTGTGAAGCTACAGTCGCAGTATGGTTGCCATAGATCAAATGTGACTGAGGCTTAAGACTTTTAATCATCAACAGGCAGACACTCCTGAAGTTATCAAATGTGAAATAAACAGTCAATTAGCTCAGGGGAAATACAATGATTAATTTTATCAATAGGCTCTATTATAACCCTGGAAAAATCAACAAATATCATATCGAGTGAAATAATCTAGACTCACGGAATGGTGCTCTTTGGTTCCATATGCTGCAGTAACTTGAGTTTGTCTTCATGTAGAAGATTGAAGACGTTGTTGCGCTGCTCTATATGATGACGAGTCATTAAGTGCGTGTTCCCACTACCAATAACATCTCCACTCTGATCAACTGTCTTAAATGCTGAGTATGGACTGCTTGAAGATATGCCTGAAAGATTACTAGATTTACTTAAAAATATCCCAGTTAGTAAATTAATTTGTTTATTAGTGTCTCACACACTAAAGTAATACACACATGATTCTAAGTATTTGTATTTTTGTATCATGTACTCTGAGTGGCTTTGGATATCTCAAAGGACCTCAAACATGTGAGGAATAAATTGTAATACTTCTTAGACAATACATAATACAAGGAGACAAAGAAGGCTTCCATCTTATCATAATGTCAGACTCAGCCACCTTAAACTGATCCTGATATTAAAAATAGTATATTTTAGAAAGGAATTATCTTTACCTGCAAGTGGTGCAGGTTGCTTTATCTTTAGTAGGAGTTCAGCCTTAGAAAACTTATGCTGGGGAATATCAGCGGAACTCTCCATAGCTGGGGAGGCACCTCCTCTTGATGATGCTGGGCTCTAAAACATCAGACAACAGTTGAACACATGAAAATTACATGCTTCAATACATATTAGATTGGAAAATGGATAATATGATTAATTTCAATGTTAATTTCAAACACAGATTGAAAGAGTTAACAACATAAGACTGAAATTCACAGAGGAGATTTAAGTGAGACAGATTTATTTAATAAAAAAATATAATTCCAAAACATTGGGATCACATAATAATTACATTATATTGTTGGGTTTGGTGGGGATACTAGATGGGTGAGGGTGCACTTTAAGTTGATTGGTTTATACATTGCTCTATCAGAATAATAAATTCCTTGGAGGTAGTTTTGAAGAATGAGATTTTTGCAGAATAGCCTAAATTGTTACTTTTACCCGTATATTGAAGTTAAGGATGTCTTAATTTTCAAAGAATGCTTCTCAGATTCACAAAATTGTAACATAATTTATCATTATTCTGATAGGGCAACATTCTGTATCATTACAATGTTGAAGTCCTGGGGGATGGTTTTGAAGGTGTGATTGACTGATTGGGACATGTTTAATGTGATTCACATCAATCAATATTTCAGGCCATCTCTTACTCTACGTCTCCTCATGCTGCCAGAGCCTGCAGTGATTGCTCTTAGTTTATACCTTGATGACTTTATTGACTTTGATGAGCTACCACTGCCTGGGGTCAATGAACTAGCATTGCCTGGTGTCAATGAACTAGCATTGCCTGGGGTCAATGAACTAGCATTGCCTGGGGTCAATGAACTAGCATTGCCTGGGGTCAATGACCTATCACTGCCTGAGGTCAATGAACTAGCATTGCCTGGGGTCAATGACCTAACACTGCCTGGGGTCAATGACCCATTAGCGCGAGAAGTCATTAACCTACGACCTGCACTCAACTGCTGCGTATTGTAAAATTGTGACAAACAGAAAATTTAATTATTTGTTCCTTTAGAGAGTAAAAATGTACATAAGAAATAAATCGTAAATCAGACATAAATTACAATAAAACTTGAATAACAGAATCTCTGGGGCTTCAAGTATGGCCTACCACATTAGCTACTATATTCTTAAAATTTCAAGATTTTAGAATGCATTATTGAAAGTACAGTTACAAAGTAAAAATTGTATAATATTGATGATTACTAAACAAAACGTAAAGTCTTTTAATTAGATATCAGTCTTATGAGTGTGTAATCATGTCATACCTGACTTCTAGCCCCCGCTGACTGGTGTCCATCATCTCCCACAGCAGCTTGCAGCACAGCACTGGAATCTGGGTGACTCAGCTCTATTGGGGTTTCAGAATCCTGTTAATGGGTAATATAACAAACACTGCAGCTTTTATATAAAAACATATATTCATATATTACAAGGTTTTTTATTCTATTCATTAATGGTTTCATGAAAAAGGCCTGAAAAGCCTATAGGCATTACATGATTCATATTTCAGTATTGTTCAAATAGATCTTTTTGAAATTATTATAAAGTTCAGTATTCAGGTTTTCTGTTGCCTCATTTACAATGGGTATTCTTGCAGGGTATGATTTTAAAATATTTTCCAACATTTCTGTTGCATGTGTCAAGCTTAAAAGGGTTTTAATACATCTTAGTATAGGAGGGTCTGAATAATGAGTCCCATTAGGTTCTGTTTCCATTATTTTATTGATAAAGTTTGCTCCAGCATTATGCATACATTGAAGTTTCCAATCTGGTTCTGTTAATATTTCTATATGAATGATTATGAGCAATGAGGCAAATCTACTGATCACCAAATTAAGAACTGGTGAATTTTCATATATTGGCCAATGCTGTTTTTAAATGTAGCAAACTTAACCGATGTCCACATTTTATACGACCAACCTTCAATTTTTGCTGGTACTCAGTTTAATTTGTTTGGTATATAGCATCACCTGTATTTATAAGGGGAGAATGATTATTTTTGACACCCTGTACATACTTTCAGTTGAGTTAGATATTATTGGCATTACTTACAGGTAGAGGGGTAGCTGCCTTGCTGGCTTGTCTCTGCTGTTTCTCAGTCAAAGATTGCAACTCCTTCAAAATAGAATCCCTAGGCACCCTGAACACCTCGATCCAGGCTTCTCCTGCAGTTGGATCTGAAAAGAAAGATTCCCTTGTAGGTACCACTATGAGACAATGCAAGTCAGCACATCATCATTTAATGCAAATGGCTACAAAAAGGTAACAATTTACTAAAGATGCCGACCACTGATTCTGATCTCTGGATGGCAGTCACAAAAATGGCCAGTTCTTTGTGGAATGTAACATGAAAATATAAAACATTAACATGCAAAATATCACCACCTGCCATTTGTTACAGATGGCACCCGCCAAATGCCAAAATAATCATGGGATAAACATGTACATTTGTTAAAATGTGAACTTACTTTCCAAAGCTAATGCAATGTATTCACCACCTGCTGAAGCCTCACACTTTACTGCAATCACTTTGTTGTTGCTCTCCTAAAATACATTCAGGTTCTCATTAAGAAATTAATACACATTAGTCTACACTCTACATGGTGTCAAATAAATATGTTCTCCCCCTTAACATATTTACTAAAATTACTTGACACCCTGTATATCATTCCAAGCTCTTGTGTTTGTTCTTTTAAAACATATGCAGATTTCATTTATTTCATATCACTGATTCCCATTTTTCATTTGAAGAAATTTATCATTTTAATTGATGACATTTGGACAATATTTTAACACTCACCACATTTTTCTGTATTGTCATACAAGATCCTATGATTCAAAAATACTACTTGATAATAATACTACTACATATCTATCACTTGAATACTACTACTAATAATACTACAAAAAGAAACAAATTTTTCAAATGTGCCTTGTACCTTTTCATTTAGTGCATGTTGAAGGTAGAGCCTATCATTATGGAAGATAAACATTCTTGCAATGCCCATGTCATCAACTGTTGAGAGCAAGTAACACTCATCTGTTGGTTTACTAATGTGTAAAGAAGATATCTCCACTCCCTCTACCTCCCACTGTGCAATTGTGGTATTGGATGATGCATCCAACGCTGCAACTCCATCAGTTAATCCAACAAACAGGTATTTTCCATCAGCTGTAGATTTAAGCACTGTTGATTTACCATGAAGCTGAAAATACAGATAGCCAAGTTTATTCCATGATTCTAAATGCCATCTCAGGAATACCTGTATGTTTTGTATCAAAGACATATAATAATGTTAATAAAAAAAGAAAAATATTTTTGAAATCAAATTGCTTCCTTTAGAAACAAATTAGTTCCCCTGTCATACTACTGAAATCTTATATATGAAAATCCTAGTCCTAGTATATAGTCCCAGTGGAGTGTTCTCCACAGGATTTTTTCCCAAGTATGTGCAAAATTCTCATTTTCACAATCCAGACCAACATTGGTCAAAGTATGAATTTTCATGATTTTTTTCTCATTTTCAAGTGGGTGCAAATGGATTTTTAGGTGGGTGCAAGCCTGTTTTTAAAATCTCAGATGGGTGCTGCACCCACTTGCTTTAATACTGGGGAGATCACTGCAGTGTTTACATGTACATGTAGGGCAAGTAGACTATATCCTGATTTTGAATTTCGTTTGAAATATTTAGACCATAGTCCCCAGTAACATGTATAAAAAAAATAGAGTCGAGTTCGCATAAAGAACATGACTAGATCTAGGCTAGATTTCTAAAGGTGGGAGCGGGGGGTGTCATTATGCGCCTGGTAAACTGAGCTGTGGGAGTTTGTTCTTCTACCCCATACCTAATATTCTAGTGATTATGATTATGTTAAAAGACAACATGGTTGGGTACACACCTGCATTTGCACAGCACATTCAAACCTTGGAGCTTTCACTTTAGAAATTTCTTCAACCTTTTTATCCTCTCTTTCAGATATAATCTGCCATATATCATCATAGACATAACGCAAAAGTTTATCAACCATGCGATATGGCTGAGGAAGTGAATCTTTAATTTGATCAGGGTCGGTGATATAATCCTCCTCGTCTTCTGACAACTCTCCAAAAGTTGCAGGCGTGATTGTCTGGTGTTTTCTCACGTAAACAGGCATTGTGTACGCTGGTATTACGTCAACTTTTTCTTCTCTATTGTTGGTTCGATTTTAACAATGTTTTATGTTTATCTCTTCCATAACAGCTACAGAATACTAAATTATTTGATTGAAATTTTGGAAATAAGTATGGTCTCTAGGTCTGCCATTTTGAAACAAATATTCATAACGAGGCTTTGACCTAGTTTCTAAACGGAAGTGAAATGTAGTAATGTACTGTTGCTGTAAGTTTGATTATCTTGTAAAAGTAGTTTGTCAAGTATTCACAGTGACTCAACATATTGATCAAAACATTCAATTTGTATATTATCTGTTTGAAATCAATCGAAATTGTCGTCAAACCTTGGAATTTTGTTTTAGATTGCCAGTGACCTTCGACCCAATAAGGTTGACAAGATCAAAGATGGATCTTCTCTCTGCTGTAGTAAAATTTAATAACCAGACAAATGGAAGAGACAAATTATGCAGGTAATGATTATTTTTATTTCTCATAAATACATCTATGTGTACAGTAGATCCAAAGTAGCATGTTCAATGTATATTACATTTGCTCACCTGGTTCAATATTGAACCTGAAGTTCAACTTCTTACTTTAATGAAATGGAAGAGCAAAGTTATACATGTAATGTAGCTGTGGTTGGGAAGTCATCATGTTAAAGGTTGTTGATGTGCCACGCCCTCTCTGAAGTGTCATTTCAGGGTGGTCTTGACACATCAATATTAGCTGGTCATGTAGATCCTAGACGGTGAACACCGCCTCTAATGAGACCCTATCTGTTGCAAGACTAACGTCTGGCGTAACCGTCACCATGTTATTCAGTGTTTTTTAAGTAGCGCAAGGATCCTGCCATGACCGTGGTAATGTTATCATGAAAGCCTGGTATAACCGCGACAATGCTGTATTATATTGCAATGCCTGCCATGACCGTGACAATGTAATATAGTTCTGCAAGGCTTGGTATGACCGTAATAATGTAATATAGTACTGCAAGGCCTGGCATGACCGTGTAATATAGTATTGCAAGGCTTGGTATGACCGTAACAATGTAATATAGTACTGCAAGGCCTGGCATGACCGTGACAATGTAAATTGCAAGTTCAGGTTTGAGAGTGGTAATGTAGAAATTTACGATTAGGACTGCTATAACCGTGACAATGTGTATTGCAAAACCTGGCATGACCATGACAATGTATTATGGGATCGCAAAGCCTGGTATGACCGTGACAATGTAATATAGTATTGCAAGGCCAGGTATGAGGGTGGTAATGTAGAGATTTAGGCTTAGTTCTACTATGACCGTTATAATGTATTGCAATGACTAGTAAATATGTATGACATTAATGCCAGGAATATCCTTAACAATTTTAAGTCATCCTCATTACAATTAAACAGTTTAATACTATAATCATGGTGTTTAACTACCTTAATCATGTCAAAATCAAAATTACTACTATACATTAATATTCACATTCGCTTATAAACCACAATAAAGGCTACGGTCGCGCCAGGCTTCCACGATAACACTTCCAGGGTCATGACAGGCCTTGCAATAGAATACAGCATTGTCACGGTTATACCAGCCTGTCACGGTTATACCAGGCTTACACGATAACACTACCACGGTCATGGTAGGATCCTTGCGCTACTTAAAAAACACTGATTAACATGGCGACGGTTGTGGCAGGCGTAAGTCTTGCAATAGATAGCATGTGCCTCTAATGCGTTGGATTGTCGTATGGACTTGCCAACACGATCCTCAGAGACCCAGAGGGTGCATGAATGCACCTATGTAGGTCCCTGCAATCCATCCATAAAAAGAATACTCAAGGTTGTAAAACATAAAAATTAGATATCCATATACTGAAAACAAATGATGAAATACACATGTACTTTAGAACACAGTCAAAATCGCAAAATTTTACAGATTTTGGTAAGCTTTAGATAATCAAATTCTACCTATTTCTCTTCACCATGCTTTACAATATCAAGTTTTATGAGTGGGTGCAGTAATGGAAGTTTCACTAAATTTTGATAAGATATTGTTGATTTATATTTTAAGGGTTGAAGTTCTCATTTAACATTTTATAGTGACTTGCAGTTCTACTTTCTGACTTTGAACTATGATCCTTTACTATTTACATTCTTCTATCTGAGCAAACTTGAAATGGCCCAGTCCTTCAAATATAGTTCAATTTGTAGGACAATGTGATGATCTTAATACATGTACGGTATAAAGGTATCAGAGTGATCCCTTTATTCAACCCTTTATGTGAAACCTCTCTACTGCGTACAACCGGCATGGGCGTTGCGCCCGGTACGCTGAGTACGCACAGGCGTACCAGATGGCTTTGTATAAAAAACCTCCTACCCACGTACCCTCGTACCCACGTACGTGGGTCCTGACCCAGTCTTTAAAGAGTTAAATTTTTAAATGTTTAAAACATTATTCAATCTCAGTTTATCCTGAATTATAGATGAATTTATGCATCCATATGCCTTTATTTATAGGTCTGACATCTCTCTAGTAAAATAAAATAAAGCCGGAATTGCATAAATGTTCACTATTTTTGAGCTATTTGATTTATGTTTTTGATATGTCGAAATGTTTTTTGTTGATCAGGCAGTCTTACCTGTATAACACATCAGTGCTGATTAGCAATCTCCTAGCCTTCGTTCAGTGCAATCCGTGCCTCCTGTTACCTCATGCAGATTGTAAATGTCCCGGGAAGTTTACCCTTGTCCAAAAGTTGACATCTTTTTAAAAATATATTTCTTAGAGTTTCCAACCAATTAAATTCACCACATTTTATTAGATGTTTATTTCAAATGTTATTAGAATTCATTCTTACGAATATTATACGTTATTAACGTATGTTAGTCAAAGATTTGGTGTCGTTGTTGTCCATTGTATTCACGTTTTACGCGCAAAAAGCTAGAAACTACAAAGCTGAACTTTTATCATTCAAACCAGTTTTACATCAAATCATTGTCAAAATAAAACTCTACTCTTCACATTACCTAATTATGGATCAAACGGCCATGAATAATGTCGAAGTTTACAAAACCAAACTTACACTCCCCTGCATAAGTTTGGCAACTCTAACTTTTAATTCCATCTAAATGATTCACTGAACTAGTGCGCACAATTATCCTTAAATTGTGCCAAAAAGTGATTAAAAACGAATATAGTGAATCCTTCTACTTTTCAAATATTTCGTTATTCAATTGCGCCACGGTTAAACAGAAATGCAGCCTTTATTATTCCTTGAGATCGTGTGAATTGATCACTCTATCACTTTGTATCTCCAATTCTGATGTTAAATTAAATAAAAGACATAAGACAAATTACACGTATAGTTCAAATCTGTCGTGCAAACAATGAATACTTGTAATATCGTTTGAAAGAATGAAAAGTATATGTGATAAAAATCGAAACTACAGGGTGTTAAAAAACAGGACCGATGAAAAGTTGAATAACTTCGTCAATCCAGAATCATTCAGGTCATTCAATGTGAATTTTGTTGTGAAAGTTTGACCATATTCTGCTCATGGAGTCAAAAACTACAGCACTTTACAACACATGCCCCATGTGGCCAATTTGCACCAAGCAATAGATTGGTTGTACACTGTAAGATTGCCCGATCAACAAAAAATCGCTTCGATATATCAAAAACAACACTCAAATAGCTCAAATGAACATTATGCAATGCCGGCTTTATTGTATGACGAGACAGATGTCCGATCTAGAAATAAAGGCATATGGGTACATAAATTCATCCATAATTAAGCATACATTGAGATAGAATAATGTTTAAAAAATGTTAAAGATTTAACTCTTTAAAGACTGGGTCAGGACCCACGTACATGGGTACGAGGGTACGTGGGTAGGAGGTTTTTTATACAAAGCCGTACCAGATGGTTGCAAATTCGCTCCAAATACAACCAAATTTCAAAATTCTCATGTGGGAGAACTCCCAGACCCCCCTGAATGCTCCTTTTTTGATTCGCTCAACTCTTGTTCCTGTGGTGGTGGCGTACTACTAAGAAAAATAGCGCTACGCCCATGACTGGTTGTTGATATCTTATATGAATATACTTGGAAGCATGACTTATTGTCTTCGGATAATTATAATTTATCCAATGTCATTTTGAAAAATTGTGACAATGTTTTTTCCCGATTATTCCAAATGGAGTGATGTTGTTGATACAGTAAAACCTGTCAAAGTGGAACATACTTGGTATCTTTAAAAACTGTTTCACTTGGGAGGTGTTCCACTCATAGAGGTTTACTATTATCAGGATCACAAATAGTTTAAAATACACTCTGCTTGTCAACAATATCATCTATATATTTTACTAGTTGTATCTTACATAGTCACATTAATCCATTCCAAATGGAATTACTTGATGGATTAAGAAATCAAGCCTCTTTTGTCAAATTGCCTCAATATGAAATAAGAGAATTGTATTGTAGCCTGATCAAAACTACTACTGCCATCTATATATGAAGTCCTCTATTATGCCTGAAATATGTATAACAAAAAATGAAATCGTGTTTTTTACTTCAGGTTATTCCAGTATGGCACTAAATGTGGTTGGTGGAGCATAGAGAAGCTCAGAGATGACCCTAGTCTCATCAAGAAACTGAAAGATTTGGAGTACCACCTGGGAACCTTTAGGAAATGTAAGAAACTCAGCCATTGAGATAATACTTTTTATTGCAACAATTGTGGGGATATACATTTAGTTGACATAGTGGTGGCATGATTGTTTTTCTGGTGGCATTCCGCTTTTTTGTCATTGTGATTCTATGAAAACTGTTTTTCTTCTTTGCACAGATGTTAGAGAGAAAGCAGTTCAAGAGCTAATTAAGTTAATAGTGGCCATCTTGTTTTCTGTCATTTTAGAAATTTGCCTTTTGGATTTTTTTCAAATCTAGTATATTAGCGGGTTCAAAGTTTTATGGCTGATTGAATTTTGTGTTACGATCTTGTTTTTTGGCAGCCATTTTATATTTTTTTGATAAATCTTGTCATCAATATTCACTATTCCATGGAAACTTTCATGTACCATATTACTTGAATTAAAGTTAAAACATGCATTGATGTGGAATTTCTTCATTTCTCAATAGATTTAAAACCTGGTGTAATTTACTTATTTTGCATGGAATAGACTTACAACATTGATATTGTAATCTCATTGTATGATATTGTAATCTCATTGTATACATTGACTGTCCTTTGTGTTCCAGTACTGAGATTTGGCAAAAGTTTGGATATATTGCAAGGTGCTTTGAAGACGCTTCACTTAGATGACATTGCTTTACGAGCAACAATTTCATTGGCTAAGATCAACCAATCACTATACCTGCTTTTGGACCATGTCATCTGGTTGGCTAGAGTTGGACTCATAGATATCGACAAAAAATATTGGGGAAAGACCTCCGCCAAATTTTGGATGACGCAAATTATCTTGAATTTGACCAGGAACTTGTATGACATATGTAGCGCTGTTTCAAATGAGCTATATAAAAGGAACAAGTCAAAACGCTCCAGAGGAGATAAAAATGGAGATATCGAAGCCTCTATTAATCCAGCTCCAAAACAAACCCCCCTGCTTCTGAAAGTCATTGGTGATAACAAACCAGTATTCTTAGATTCAGCTAAAAATGTTGCTGATGTGTGGCTTCCAATGTCTGTATTAGGACATGTAAATATATCACCAGGAACGCAAGGCATGCTGGGAGTGATATCCTCTTGTATCGCCATCTTGGTTACGTGGAACCCAACTTTAAAACTGGTGCCTTAGTTTAATGTGTAATACCTGATCGTTGCAGTATAACTTGCTCATAATTTTAACACTTTTGGGGTTTACTGATTGCCAATTAGTGTTCATTTAAAGGGTTGAAAATATAAGCAACATGGCAAAGCAACATGTGTCCTAGGGCCATGTTTACATGTGAACTGTCATTGCTTTTACTGTATTTTTTATATTTATATGATTTTAAATTTTATCCCTTTGATCAAATTGAGATTTGAAGGTGTAATATTAATTTAATTATGAATATTGTAAAATTATGTATCCTATGTATATTATTTTTGTAAGCAATGTCCTGTTGTGAACAATAACTGAATTAAAGACTAATATAAGCCTATTTTAATGTTAAAAAGCTGATGCTATATTCTTCAGTGAATTTAATCTAGAAAGTAGTATTGGAGATACTTGGATGAACTTTTTGTCAGATTGCACTTGCAAAGAAATATCTGGCATCAGCACCATCTATTTTAATCACTTATTAGCCAATTTAAATCTTACCCTAACTGTACTTCTAAGCCTCATGGGATTAGTTTGGAAATATATTGAAAAGTATTTATGAGACTTATTTTGTTTTAAATGTTGTTGTAGTGAATTATATTCGTAAGATATAATCTGTCATACTTTATATCTACCCCTATGTTACCATGTCTAATATTAAACACTTTTGAAATGGAGCAACAATTTCAGGAAACTTTGAACAATCCTCGTATATTATATATACATATCATATAGACTCTACAGATATTAGATAATTATTATTTAATATGAGGCATATATTTAAGTGCTTTTAACAATGTCATAAATTACTTCATAAAGTTCATATGGTTTGGTAATCAATCCTCCTTATCCTGCATATGCAGGGATTTTATCAGCAGAAGGCAACAGGCGATTTTCACAGGTTGTTTCACCTGTTGCTTTCAGGGACTTTTCAACTAAAATCATGATCTCCATTAATTTTGTCTGTTGTTTTCATTTATTTTGCCTATTGTGAGAAATTCTAGTGAAACCCCTGATATGTAATGAGAAAATGTTATTGCCTAATTGTATCATATAAAAAGCACTTGAAACCAGAGATATAAAACAAGTACATAAGTATTAGTAAAAGGGTAAGATAATAATCTAAATAAATTTCTGATTGCCATTATTTTTTATTTACTAATTTTATGAAACGTTTATTAGGCAATAGAATACCACTTTGATTAGTACTTGATTCACTGAAACATTGAATTATTAGCTTTTAAAAATGCAGTCGTATTTATATAGTAACTACTGTACGTACTAATGTACTGTCAATGTTTTTCATAAAATTTTCTTTTTGAATGTTGAATAATGTGTAATTCTTTGAGACTAGTTGGTTGATTCTTCAGTAGTTAGCAATTTTATGTAAGGGTGTCCAAAAAAAACAGGACCGTAGGAAAGTTAAATAACTCGGTCAGTTTTGCATATTTTGCTTAGAAATTTCAGAATTATTTAGTTCATTCAATGTGAATTTTGTTGTGAAAGTTTGATAATAACCTATTGAGTCAAAAATTACAGTTCCTTACAAAACATGCCTCAAATGTGCACCTCTCCTCTCTATGCACGATTCAATCCGGCGAACAAAGTTGTTGAAGATCCTCCTACACACATTTCTTTTGGTATGGACAAGTTTATTCCAAGAACAGTTGCTACCGGGGCTTACATTCTCCTGATGAAGTGTTACAGCATTCATTGCATTCTGAACAATGCACTGCCTGGGTGGCAATGAGGAAACATGGAATCATCAGTCCTTTTTGATTCGAAGATGACTGGGGACGTGCTTTCCCATGAACAAAGACCAGTATATTCAAGTTCTCACTAAGTTTTGGAGGTCACTAAGCACCAGAAGGGGCATCTAAGGAGATAGGCAGTGGTTTCAACAAGCCAATACCACCCCAACACTTCAAATGATACGCTGAAATGGTTTAAGCAATGCTTTGGTGATCAGCTCATCTGTCACAGAACTCAAAACATATGGGCAGCTTATTCGCCAGATCTAAATCTCTCAGATTTTTATCTTTGGGGATTTCTCAAAGCCAATATGTATACTGACATGCCCCTAACAATCTTAAGAGGGCAATAACTACCCCAATTCGTACCATCCACATTGATGTGTATAGGTCAGGGTCATTAACAACTTTGTTCGCAGGATTCATTTGTGTTTAGAGAGAAGTTCCCATTTTGAGCATGTTTTGTAAGGTACTGTAGTTTTTGACACAATCAACAGATTATCATGAAACTTTCACAACAAAATTCACATTGAATGATTTGATAATTCTTAAATTTCAAGGGAAAATATGCAAAATTGACCGAATTATTCAACTTTCTTATGGTCTTGTTTTTTTTGGACACCCTGTATTTGAAATGACATGGCAGACAACTTTTAATTTATTCCGTAAGTGAAGCTCTCAGACTCAGGACTGTTGCCATTCGACATTTGAATGATTATATAAACTTAACTTAATTTCAAGGTAGTTTATTAAGCTCAAGACTACATGATAGAATGCCTGAGGATCAGGCAGCAGGTCATACATGATTTTTCCAGAATTGCAAAAAGTGAGTAAGTTTTAGAAAAAAACAAAGAAATTAATGGATCACATACTCTGCATACTGCTTTGTAACTGGTCAACTCAACCCTTAGTCAACTCAATACAAGTCAACTCAACCCATAGTCAACTCTACAGTTGGTCATTTCAACCCTTAGTCAACTCAACCCAAGTCAGTTCAACCCCAAGTCAATTCCAGTAGCGTAGTCAGGATTTGACAGGAGGGGGTTCGAATATTTTCGGCAAATTTCTTTTGGAGCCATCTGATGGTGAATTTGATGAAAACTTTTTCAAATGAGGGGAGTTGTTTGTCAAATGAATCGGGGGAGTTTTTCATGCATTTCACTTATGTTTTCATCCCAAAAACATCAATACACTTTAAAACATTTTATTGACTTTTAGATTGCACCATATAGTCCCAAAAATATTTTCAAGGATTATCTATGGATTAACACCCAGGTATTCTCATTTTTCAAACTTCAGAGGGCTGGGAATCAATGATGCTCAACGCTTTTGAATAATATTATAAAGCTGTTTTAAATGGGTTTCATGTATGCCAATAATTTCTCAAATTGTGTAAACTGCATGCATTCCTTAATCCCTAGATATTCTCTTTGAGGAATTTCCCATAGAAATCCAATGGTATAGTTCCAAACAGATTTTGAGATAACAGAAAAGTAAATCTTTTACATACACCTTTCTGGGTTGCTATTTAAACCAAAACAACCCGATTCTAAATTTAAACCTAAAGGTTTATCAATAGAGCATTTTACTGTTGTATGAACATAATGGATATACAGTAGAACCTTTATATCTGAACACCTGGCTTATCCGAACACCTCCCAATCTGAACACTTTTTTCAGTCCCATTTTTCCCCCATTGGCTCCCATGTTAAAAAAACTTGAAATGTGAACACCTCTCAATTTGAACAGTGAACAGTTATATTTGAAAAATTAACCTGACTAATCTGAACACTTTTCATAAAATTTCACATGCTTCATACAAAATTGCTGAAATATTGTTATGATATCAAAACTTTGGGAAAAAAATTGAATGGTGTTGATCATAAAAGGCTTCCCAGCATGACTAGATTCACTTGAATCGAATTTTCAAATTTCTGAAATGCCATAAAGCTATGTTGTCAAATGAACTATAAATATGTACCGAGAATGTGCTCACATTTCTTCAGAATCCGAAATCTCGGGATTGCAAAAACCTCGAAATGTGAACACCTCCTAATCTGAACACTTTAAGCCGGTCCCAATGGCGTTCGGATTAGACAGGTTTTACTGTAATGGACAATGGACACTAATAAGCGGAATTCATTGTAGCCTGTGTCATTTTCAAAGAAATACAGGCTACAATCAGACAGTATGGGAGTAGGGAAGTGTGTAATATAGGCTACACTTATACAGATTCGTGAAATAATATAAAACTCAGTTTCTAGTAATATCGCTCATTTATTCAAGCTGAATATCATACATAAAATTAGACGCAAACTGAAGTTAAAATATCATTAAATTTCGTCCGCATCTCATCCATACTTTCCAAAGTAAACAAATTGGTCTTCTTTTTTTCCTCAAAATTCTCTGGATACCTTGCCCATATCTGTAATACAATTCCATAATATATAATATGAATGGTATTAACTGATCTCATTTGAGCTTGATGGAATGCTGCGAAAAAAGTCTAAAATCCAGCAAACCTAATATCAAACAATACAATTATGGTATTGTTTCTCTCGCCCTGAGAAATTAGACGTTAACTCGCATACAGGCATAATAATATGGACTGTGGAACTTCTCAACTGCTTGCTTACTTCTAACTTTAGTACATACACACAGTCCATCAGTAATGCTGATGTAACGCATGGTTACTAATATAGTACCCCGGACATCACTTGGGATGTTGATCATTGCAACAATCTATTTCTCATTTTGAACCTTAGAGAATTTCTAAGGACAACGCACTTAAAATGTTTTGAAAAGGATCAACATACGATCAGACATCAGTGATTTATGATGATAATTGATTCTGTGAGAATGGGAATTCTTTATCAGTTACAGAAAATATTCCTCGTGTGTGTTTACCCATCTTGGCAGATGTCCCATTGTTTGATAGTGGCAGAGTGACACTAGATTTCTGGAGAATGATTCTGCATCTAATTCAATGAGCTATATTCAAAAACAGAGGCAAGATTTTTTTAATTCAACAAAGTCTCTTACTTGATGTTATGTGCAAATTATTCTAAATATATCGGGATCTTACAGACACTCATCCTTTTGTTCATTTTTTCATTTTTATTTCGATCATTCATATTTATTTAAGAAGCAATTGAACGATTGTTCTCTTTATATAATCTTTGAGTTAAGTTTTAAAATGTTTTGTTCATGGCGCTTTTTACTCAAGTGGCTGCCCAGGTTGCTAACCAGTATATTATTGATACTTGCCATATCTTCCCACTCCTTTCGTCCAGCTTTGACCTTGTTCATGGCTCTATTTATTTCAGTCTCTGAACTCTCCGGATTATCCAAAATCTTTTTAGCTTTCATATTAGGCAACCCAAGGATTAATAAGTCTATATCTCGTTCCCTTAACCATTTCGCTAAAGAAAAACTAGAAAACTCAAAGAGACGCATAAAATACATTATTTACATACATGTAGGGATATTTCGAAATAAACTAAACAGTCCCGTAAACAGTACCAGGGTTCACAAGTGAAACAAAAATGGCGTCTATTGACGGACGAACGGACGGACTGAGCTACAGGGAATGGATGGGGGAAATTCGGGCCAAAAATAGTCTACACTGCCTTGTAAATAACAATTATGAAATATTCATTCGTCATTTACCTTCATGGACAGTCAGATGTGAGAATGATTTTTTTCCATTCGTATATGGCGCGTGCTTCGTCACCCCATCGGTTATCAATATAACCCATCGGTTAGCCTCACTTCTAAATGCATGCTTAGAATAGGCATAGTTTATAGCTTTGTCGGTGTACGTTCCCAATGCTGTTTCGGTGATAATTTCACCAAGTTCTATAAGAGGAATAACATTGTGGTTTGTTCAGTATAGAAAGAGAACCATTATTAAATGGGATTATCACATTTTAATGGGTAAAACTATAGCCTAATTTAAGTCTAAGTGGTTTCAAACTTATACGGAATCTTAAAATTCTTACGCTCCCCTAATGGCGCAAAGTATTAAGTTCAAGAGGATTCCCATCACATCAAAAAATTACATTAGTTTAAATTACTCAAATCATATAGTTAAATGAGTGTTATACGAGTAGTAAGTATTCTACTTTTTATTATGCCGCTTGCATCCCTGATTGCTCCTTCTCCAGTAAGAGGTACTTCAACGTAAACATCAGAATTGTAGGAAATTGCAGCTATCCATGTCTCCTTAGAAGTTTTTAAAATTTGTGCCGTCAGGTCTTGTAAGAATGTTTTGACTCTGGCAATGTCTGATGAGTCGATAGAATTGGATCGATCAATTACGTAAATTATGTCTAGAATTGGTTCTCTACAAACTGAAAATTATTTTAAACATAGTATTAACATGAAGCTGAAATCATCTCTCATCTATCGACATTATTCAAACATATGGAACTGAGCGAAAATACCAATATAACTATGAATGTTTTTACAAAAATGAAAATAAAATAGATAGATATTCTTAGGTACTTGCCGATTTCTGGTATTTTATGTCCACAATCCAAAGAACGAGTATTCTCTGTTACACTATCAATAAACGTCTGTGTGAAATCATCGCCTGTATTCATCTTGATTATTGGATTGTACTCTTCATACTCCAAGTTACCAATCCTGTCGTCGTCAGGATCCTCTTCATAGAATTCAAATGTTGCAAAGTTGATACCCTTGTTCTGTAGGTTCCTAATGGCTGTTTTTGTCCGTTCAAGAGTTATATCCATATTGCTTTTCTTGTCAAAAGATATGCCATCACTCAGTACAACCACAATTTTGCCCCTAAAAGCAAGCCCAAATTGCAAATGTGATTGAGGAAAAGGTGATAGACGTTTGGTGAGGAACTGAAGATTTGTGCATTAAGAGAATATTACACTTAAGCTATAAACAATGCTTGGATTATCATTATAAGGGATTATCATACTTAGAAAAAATCATAATCAAGTATGTATAAATATCTTTTCACAAATGAGTCACTGGCAAATACAGGACTATAAGAATAATACCACCACCAAATCGAATTGAACTTTGTAAATTGTCACTGAAATGTTTTGCTTCTCGGATTGGTTTAATCTCTGCAGTTCGCTTTGAAAAATTTATCATTTTGTCAATGGGAATTTCTAGATGTACAGTAAAATAGAAAAACATATTTATTCGTATGGCTTTTACCTATCTTCACTGAAATAATTCTTGAAATCTACCAGAGTTAGTGCACCTGCTGTAATTGCCTTTGTGGCGCGAGGACAATTATCTCCTCCTTTGAAGCCATCCCCTAATTGTTCTAGGAACGCGCCTGGGGATAACGCAGAGATTTGTACTTGAGCAATCTGTAAAGTTAATTGGATGCACCTGGTGGGTTCTAGGACATGGCATAGGATTTTTAAAAATCTAGATTTAAATCTACGTTTTTTGTGACAAATGGTAATTAATAAGTAAATAATTAATAAGTAATTAATTTTTAAAAAGTTATTGTCTAATGGAGTAAAACACATATTTTATCAGTTATAAAATAGCTAGTCTATTTGAAATACTTACATCATCATATGTGATAAGCGTCATTGTTGAATTTTTGTTAGTTGACATTTGCTTAGCCACTTTTCCAATAAAGGACGTTTGGACACCCTGCACTAAGGCGGGATCAAGGTCACAAGATGTTTGGAGAACGAATACAATGTCAACACATTCTATTCCTAAAGTTGAGATGAACAATTTTAAAGTTATAAACATTTTTTTAAATTTTTTTCGTTATGCAACGCTCCGACAGAAAATGCCGGCTCGCTAAGCTCACCCATCGTGAACGACGAATATGGAAGAGTAAAACGGATAGGAATAGAACGATGTAAAGCTCCAACCTAAAACGCCTCAAAATATAAAGAGGACCCTACCTGATTTCTGTCCTTTGACAATTAGAGGAGCCAAAAATGCAAAATTTAGCCATACAAAGACCATGTTTTGATTCTGAAACAAAATGATTTAAAAATTTAAATTGTAGCAGCATAAGAGACACATAATTTGTTAAACTTTTTATGTATTCGAACCAAATCGAAAATATCACTTACCATTTTGGATTACAGTTCTTTGTATATGACAATGTGTATTTATAGACCACGTGGATTTATAGACAATCATATTAATTAATAAATTGTATCATTCTTGATTATTGCCTCATGAATGTAAAAACCGATCCATTAAGATGAATAAATAAATAGTCAAAATGATCAGATTATTAACGTTATTACTATGAACCGTAATACTTCATCATTGCAGCCAGTTACGTATACGCTTTAGGTCTGCTGTACTACTGTACTAACAGAGGCAATGCTTCGAGCTTGATTTAAAGATAACCTAATACGAGCTGTTACGAGGCCTGCTCAATAAACACCAAGACAAACGGATTGCAAGTATACGTTTCTTCTGCCAGGATTGATCGTTCCATATTTGATCATAGTTCATTCTGTTAAACTCAATAAGATAAAAAACGTCAACACCTGGTTGCAATAACTAAAGATTAACTAATTTTAAGATGTAATTGCATATTTCGATCGCCAACATGATAGTATTAAAGACGGAATCAGATCTATATGGGTGACAAAATTATAAGCAAAAAAAAAACAAAAAAACAAACATGTACAATTGACCTACCAATCTATTCATTACAATCTCAAATATAATATCTCCAAAAAGATTCATGATGTGTTATAAATTGGTGAAGTTATTACGGATTCAAAGTGCAAAATGGGTAAAAATTGTAGTGAATTCTCCCAAATAATCCTTATAGAAAAATAATACATTATTGTAAAAATCTTTAGTTTTCCTGAGATAAATATTGCACCTTGGAGATTTTTAGAAAATTGACATGACAAGGAATGTCATGAGCCAGAAATATTCTAAAAGCGAAACAATTTTTTGTTGACCGATCGCTAGATCTGATTCTCTCTTTAATCCCACAGACATAAGTATGAGGGAGGGGTCTTAAAGTGTAAAATATCAGGAACATAAAAAAGATGGACAGAGATTGAAATAGACTACATGGATAATAAAAATATATTAGAAATGTTAAGACTCATGCCGCCTCTCCTCACCAGTATATCAACAGAAAGGATTAACAAGATTAATGTAACATAATGTTTTTCATGATTTTATTGTGTGGAAGCCTATTTCTACAGCTTTGATGAATTACGTAACGTAACATCTTCAACAGCAGTCAATTAAGACTAACAATTTTAAGCAATATTCAGTGCTTAAAATTAACTAAAATAATGAAAATATTTCACTCTATCCAAATAATTACTTTTCAAAGGGAAATAGAATGAAATATTTGTTTTATTATTCACTGGTGTGTTCCCCATTATGTTACATGTACATATACATCGTACATGAATACGTCTTCTTTGGAATGCTTGAACACTCAAAGGTTTGAAAATGAACCTCCAAATTGAGATTCAACTGTTTGTCATTGAACAGGAAGCAGCAGCGGGAAATTTCAAAGCATATATGTTGAAGCAATCACACAATGAGTAACATGACAGTGAAATAATAATAAATATTCACCTGAACACTAAAATTGGTGCCATTAATACATAAGTAATGTTAAATTACTAATTACGAATTGCATTTTGGATTTCTTTATGAATAAACAAAATTAAAAGTCAATGAAAACCATGCCTTTGCAAATATTCCATTTTAGATGAGGTCAATATTCCATGGGAAAGATATATAATAAAAAGGAAAAGATGAACAAGTATTCGACAAAATTAGAATGGAATATTTGAATAATTATTATTCATTGCTATAAGTCTCACTCTCATTGACGTGAATCTAAAAAATTGAAAATATGCCATGACCAAATCTAAACATATCTTTATAATCAACTGAACATTATCGGTCAATGTGAAATCGAGTATGAAACATTTCAATGATATAACAGATAGAACTAGTAATGTGATGTTTTCATGGTGAGTTGCATCCCAACCACCTTTTCCTTAAAGGAATCACTTTGGATAAAAATACACACAAAGGTCACAATGAATAAAAATGATGCAAGTTTGCAATCATTTTATGTACATGTACAATATTTGAAGCATCTACAAAATATACTGCATATATAATTTTCACATTTACACACTTTAAAATCTCAACCAAGAATACATTGAAACAGACAAAGACATTCATACAAACAGACATTCATAAGAATAAAGACATTCATACAAAGAGACATTCAGACAAAGAGACATTCATACAAAGAGACATTCATAAGAATAAAGACATTCATACAGGTAGAGTTATTCATACACACATAGGCATTCCTACATATAGACACATTTATACATATCACATTCACACATATATAGAGTCAACTATTTACAAAGACAGACACCAGTTTCAAATATTCTCTTGGATATATACAGATTTTGAGAGATTTGTAAAACTTGTCTTTTTGTATGTACATTTAAATAACAATCATAACACTTCTTAAATGAACTCTAAATAGTTGAACAATGCATGAAGTACAAGGAACACTTTCATTGAAAATACTCCAATTGCCTTCTACAAAGTTCTCTTCAGTTTTTGGGCCGCATGAATTCCTTTGGAATTTACTTTGGAATTTCAAAAGTTAAAGTTGTTGTTCATAGTGTTTTCTCACTCATAACTACATTCTCCATAATCAACCTACATGTATTGCTTGCAGTCCTTTTATAATTTCATACTGTTTTGTGGTGACATTTCCTTCCTATAGTTTTACTATAAAACGAACGTCTTAATGGGTTTTGCTGTAGAATTTCTTGTTGAGCAGGAAGACAAGTAAATTGACATTGATCTTTGCTTTGCCAAACATCTTCATGACTGCCACTCCATCATACTGCAGCTGGAGGAGATCCTACAACACAGCACACAACAAAGCATTAGCGTCACATGATCACACAATGAAACAGTACCATCTAGTTACAAATTCTATACTGGTTGGTTATTGTTGTAAAATCTTTAGGGAAAGTGTCCAAATGTGAAAATTGTGGAATAATGAAATTTTTTTGTGAGAAGCAAAACAGTTTCATTACTTTTTTATTAACATTATATCAATCTCATTTTTCCATAACAGTTGGCATCTATACACCTGTTAAATTATATGAAATGTGAGAACTAAAAATTGACATGAATTCAAAAATAATCTTTAATTTTATCTAATCGCAACTTGAAAATCGTTTATAATATAAAACTTATCCCTACAACTCTCCCTCCCTTCCCCTTAAATAATAGCGCTGAGACAAAACCTCAGTGATGATCATTCACATTTGTACAATGTACCACGAGAGCCCCTTGCACTTTACATTTAAAATGCATGACCTAATAGATAACTGGTGGAACATACATGTATGTGAGCAATGAACTATAAACCACCTACCTGGAAGACAAGTTCAGCCTCATCCATGGTAACTCCCAGGAACTTGGCATTCACCTCAAACACACCAGCATTAACACCCTCCCCTATCTCAAACAACACATTCTTGAACCTAAAATAAAAATTTTCATCACATATTTTGATGTACAGTATTTGAAACAGTGAAAGCAATCTGGAAATACTTATTCCACAATGTCAGGTCTAATTGTCTCAAAAAAGGATTAATGCAGAAAAAAACAGCATGGCATATTATAAAGTATAGGCAATGATTGGTCAGAATAGGTGTAAGACTTACTGGTTTGTCGGGAGACCCTCTATCTCTAGCACCACTCCCTTCTCATAGAGTCTAGCTCCACTATACTTTATACACTTCTTACTAGGCTCCTTGTGGAACAAACTGCTTCGCTTCTTCCTGCGATAAAGGGAAATATTGAAGTCATTAAAATGGCACTTTTCAGTTGGCTCTCATCGTAAAAAATGTAGATTTTCCCTAATAACTAAAAAATAGGAACTATCGGACCAAATGTGTAAGTTAATTACCAACACAACCCAGGGAGTGGTAAGCGTTCATTTGTCAAAATTGTTGACATAGCATCAAGATGTAGGTTTGATCTCAGATCTAATAGAAACATTTGGACAAAAGAGTCTAAAAGACTACATTGAATGAATTATCCTTGGAACAATATATTTGATGTCTAGTGAAGAAAACATTTCAAAGGAGTACTCTTAAACATGTTTTTTATTTTTATTTTAAATTGGTTAAAGAGCTACTTACTTTTCCTTGCTGGCTAGGCTGGTAAGACATGTCTTCACATACTGGTTGTAATAGTCAACCTGTTCCTCATAGAATGCACGTTTACCCGTCAAAGCCTTTGATGTATTTTTCAGCTGGATGGTTTCCTGTCTACGTCGACTGCGGTAGAATCTCTGGTTTCTAATATCCCGTGCTATAATGTTCACCAGCCCCTGGTAGTCATCCTTATGTGATATAACTCCTGCAATCTCTAGGGACTGGAGATTCTTTATGATCTTTGTCTTCATACCTTCCAGAGGCAGTCTGGAAAAGAGCAGTCAATTCAGAAACATGGACATCAAATGTTACCTTGATATTTCTTTCTACTTGCACGTTGCAAGTTAAGTGTTGTTTCGGCAAATACCTTTAATTATCTTTCATTCGAAAAAACAACATTTTTCGGGTTTTTGAACAGGATTTTTTTGAACACTTCAGGATTTTTGTCAATAATTTAAAGTTTGAATTTTTCAGAGATGCATTGAATTATCTGAGACAAATCTTGGAATATTGGAGTAAGGAATTAATTGGAGCTGCTGCATTTCAGAAGTTTCAATGTGGGGAGAGCCCTGTTATATGATAAACTTAGGACAGTTTGAAAAACAGAACAAATATCTGACTGGAATGTTCACCTTAAATCAGAGAAGACAGATTGTTGTCTGGTAAGCTTTGCTTTCCTAGTACGTGCCTTCAGGGCAAGACGTTCTCTCTCCCGGATCAATTTCTGATGGTCATATTCCATCTCATCCGTGGCAGTGGCCCTAAGAATGTCCATGAGGGTATCTCCTGTCTGGTGACGGATTACATCAACAACCATCTGCTTGGTCCTGTAGCAGAAAATATACTAATGCTACATACATTTGCAAAAAGATATTGACAACTAGAAAATAGCAACTCACTGGAGAAGCAATTAAATTAAACCACACTCAACAAAATCTATTTTTATCAAATCACTAACTATACAGAAGTATTGTATCCTTTTAGTCTTGCAAAATCTACACACCTGATGTGATACCATATTACAAATCCTTTCTCAAATATAGGTCTTATGACCATAAGGCATTAGCCTATAAAATTTGGACTATCCGATTACAGGTATTTGCATCATCAGAAAAAATTTGAATTCAGCTGGTATTTTGAAAATTCTTTCTTGAACAGAGTCCTATGTCTATAAAGCAGCATAAGCATATTAAATCTGAACCAAATCTGACAGCTTGTATTTGAATTATCCCAAACTTGAATTTCAAATAATATGTCTCACCAGAGAGAACCAGGATTTTTTTTTTATTAAGAACATCAAATATTACCTTATAAGGAGTGCTTTCTGATCGGAATTCTCCCCATCTGGCACTTCAAATTTGTTAGACAGTGTAAGAGAAACTTCTGTCTTTGCCATCTGTTGCTTGTTGAGAATTCCTCCTTCATCACAGCTACATTCACCTAAAAATACAACCACCAATACATGTATGTAAATAAATATCTATCAACTTTATTGGATCAAGTGTGGTAGGAATAACAATACTACGGCATTTGATCATTAATTATCTCTAAATTACAATGATTTCATTTTAACAAGGTATTTTACTATTATAGGGACTTTAGACATCTGGGCTTACCTATCAGGTCATCTATGTTTGGTCTGTCACCCAAATCATCAAGGAGCTCATGAATGGGGTCCTGTGGGTCAGTGGCTACAGCTGCTTGGTGATCCAACAACAGCTGTAACAACAAACAGGTCTCTTAACAACAGCTGCTATGAAAGCTTTGTGTAATAGTCTGATTTTTTCTTTATTAGTGCAGTGTTTTCTCCTAACATTTTAGATTTTGTTTAATGTATTCTTTCAATATTGAAAGCGTATCATGCAATTGTAGCTTATTCACCCTTGGTATACGCAGCTAACGAAAATTGACCAGTACGGGTCAAAAGCTGGACCGGTACGGGTTAACAGTTTTATTTGAATTTCAAACAGCCATAACTTGCTCAATATTGACTTCCTCGTGTCTAATTTGAAATATATGTTGCCTCCCGATGCTTTTAAGTACCCCAATTTTTTACAGATTTTTAAACGGGTTCGGAGCAATAGAACCGGTCCGTCTTCTCGCTGCAAGCAGGACGAAATTCTTTGTCACAAAGTTTGGCATTTTTTATAAAATCAAACGCGCGTCATTGAAACTCACAAGATGTAAATAGCATGTCATTTACATCATACCTTGATGGGGAAAAATAGATCTTATATGTTAGAAATACCGTATTCTCTGTAATTAGCGCCCAGGGCGTTTAGAAAATTGAAAATACATTATTTAGACCATTCTAATAAGCGCTCATGTATGAAAGAAATCAGAAATCCCGAGGAATTTCATGTATGGCAATTTTTCTTGACAAGAATGCATTTTCTTCAACATATTTTTATAATAATATGACAAGTGCTGTTATTGGAGAGAATACGGTAAAGATCGCTTAGACAATATTGACAGTGGTTGAAGACCCGTCTATGTCTAATTTATTTCCGGCACGCCCACTTTGTCATTATCGCCGATTACCTTCAATATTTCCACTAGAGACTGCTGGATATCGATCTAAAGTTATACATTATTTCTAATTTGATGAGAGATCATCATTATTCGTGCAAAAGTCGTGTAAAAGTCGAGAAACATTAAAAAGAAACCAGAAAGTTCACGACCTTGACATGCGCAGAACATCTGCGCAGTAGCTTTTGAAATTTCTGAATGCCGATAAAGAACAATTCCTTCATTCATTATGGACTATTTGGAGACAATATTAGCATGGTATGGTGTGGGAAGCACCCATCGATAGATATGTATCGAGAGGATGCATAGAATTACAAAACGCGTCGTGTTTACAGCAGTTTTAGGGTAAGTACTCTATTATCGCCCGCTCCTGGATTTTGAGAAATATTTTTTTCCTGATATATTCTTCAATTCTTGTTGATTCCTCGATGTTTCTTGAACTTTGTGAAGCGGGGTGGGCGCTTATTAGAGAGTGGGCGGTAATTACAGAGAATACGGTACTAAATAAAAGTTATCGTGAAAATGAGACAGTCGTTCTCGAGATAAAAGAGCATAAATGCACATTTAGAGAGTTTTGGTCCGTTTAAAAATCTGTAAAAAATTGGGGTACTTAAAAGCATCGGGAGGCATCATATATTTCAAATTAGACACGAGGAAGTCAATATTGAGCAAGTTATGGCTGTTTTAAATTCAAATAAAACCGTTAACCCGTACCGGTCCAGCTTTTGACCCATACCGGTCAATTTTCGTTAGCTGCGTATACCAAGGGTGTTATTGGTTGTGCTCAAATGGTAAAGGATTTAGAAAATTATTTTATGATGGACAAATTGTTAACTATAAAGATGATGTCCAAATATAGAGAATTTGCCTTGTATTGTGGTACAATCATTTCTTTAGTTTGACTAAAATTCAAATAAGACACTAGTTTGTACCTGATGGGTGTCACAGATCTCCTGTATGGAGATATATATGACAGGCTTGGTAACATTAGCTACATCAGTGTACTGGTCCACATTGAAGACCAGCTCTGGCTCCTCAACATTGCATGCAGAACGGAAATAGTTTTTGAACTTCTCATGGGCCTCTTTGATATATGTATTCAAACAGGATAGATGAGCACTCTCCCCTCCAAACTGCAATCAAAACAAAGTTACATGTTTTACAATAAGGAACTGATAAAGAACTTATGAAACTACTTTTTGAACAGACTGAAAAGTTTCTTGATACAAGAGCATCCCACATGTAATTGGGACATTGTGAGTTTGACTCCCACCAAGATGGAGTGACTTTTCACATCACCCTTAGCTTAGAATTTGATCTTATGTTTCAGATTAAGATGCGCCTGTAAATTTGCAAAATAACTTCAACATTTCCTTCTATCTGATCACCATTGTATTCTATTGAGTGCTACATAAAGAAAGTTGTACCCCTTTATTGGAAGCAGCAAACTGCAGTATTTTGGCAATAGAACCCAGGTTTCTCCTCTGGTCATTAGAGAGACCTTGTTTGGCACCAACATCAATGATGTCAAAGGCATCAGGAGCAACTATGGCAGAGTTGATGAACCTATAGTACAACAGGTTACCAACGATCTGAAAAGCAAGCATTTGAATCACTCTGGTGTCATTATCAATGTTTTAGGTCATCACGCACATATTTTCAACACATATCTTCTGTACCACAATACTATCATTTCCTAGTGAATAACACCAGGGAATATAATTGACATTGAAAAATCCCACCTCAAAAAATCATATTTTTCCTTTTTCAAATATTATCATTTTTTCAAAAAATTCATTTTCGCAAGAGATTTTTTCCCCCCCCCCAAATTTTTCAAGACTACTTAATCACAAATGAGAATATAATTTTGAAAGTCTCATGAGAAAATAGTTAGATTTTAGAGCAAAAATCATATCTTACTTTTAGTACATCTTTCTCCAAGGCAGTTGGGAACTTTTCGTGCAACGCTGTCCGCAAAACTTTGGCCATGTACCTCATACCATATCTGAATAAAATATAAATGTACATATGAAGTGATTTCCAGTCATCAAAATATTCATTCACAACCAAAAGATGTTTAGAAGCTCTCTAATTTGAAAATGTCACTTATTGAAATGCAAATAGGATTGTTACTTATGTATCCATTAATTCCAAATACAATAGCAAAATAACAATTAAGTTATGGCACAAAAGTGATTGTTTCCATTGCATTAACACAAAATAGAATATGATTTAAAATAATGTGAAACTCACGGTATTTTATCAAGTGACCTCAATATAACATTGAAGAATTTATCAGTTTCAACACGCAAGTTGTATATGCTCTCTTGTAGGCGCTTCTGTACCTCAGCATGTGTCAATGCTTGCTCAAGAGTGACATCATAGGGCATACCACTAAAATAACAGGTAACCATTTAGTGTTTGATATAGTCGATGGGAATTCCCACATCATAGATGTTGCATTCAAAATGAGGCAAACAGGACATCTAAGATAAGTTCAATGTTAGCTACTTATACATACATACTTTCTGTAACTGATTCAGCTGGTTATTTAGCGCTGATAATAAGCACTTGCAAAACTTGGTGATTGAGTGATTGCAAAAACATATTGAATTTGCATGTCTGTAAAAGTTGAATCCTTTGCATGCATTTATATATTCTAATTAAAATGAATTTCATTCCAGTTGTCTCACCATGCTTTGCCAGTCTGTGTCTCCATCTGGTTGACCCAAGTCTTGTATATCTCTACAGGGTTAGTGTTGATGCGTAGATTCCTGTTGTCAACCACACTTTGTACTAGAGGGTTCAATAGCTCTCTCAGAGCATTCTGGCCTCTAGTGTTCCTACAAACATAACATAAGTTATGGTAGTGTGTAGAAGGGCGTTATTTAGAGAAATTCAGTGTTAACTTCAAAATACAGGAATGGACTTGTATTAAGAGACCCATTGTCTGATTCTCCAAAGAATATTAAAAATCTTGAAATTCATATATTTGTGAGGTAAATATTGTAGTTCTAACCTGTTGAATCCCACAATCATCTTCACAACCATTGGGTTGCCTGTGACCACATCACTCATCTTGTCAACCTTACATCTGCAATATATGTAGTCATGCAATATTATACAAATAGTGACTGCCATTGAGGGCAATAGTGTAAATTATTTCCCCGAGGGAATATCCTCTACAATGTACTATTCCCGAAGCCGCAGGCTGAGGGAATAGTATATTGTAGAGGATATTCCCAAGGGGAAATCATTTACACTATTGCTCGAAATTAGGCAGTCACTATTTGTTTTATTATATACCCTATACTGACTCTTGTCCCGTTTCCTCTGCGAAGGCCAAAAAGGCTTAGAAAGCCCCCTCCCCGGGTCCATTGTTAGCATTATAAGCTGTGACGTCATCAGATGCTCAACAGAAATTTTTGCCTCTGAGACTCTCACTTGACAAATTCAATTGCGTTTAACACGCGGAATAGATTATCATAACACTTGAAATTACACAGACGTATTGAGCTTAGGGAACTTTATACACGTTGCTTATATTGTATCGTTCACGCACGTCTGTCATGGTGAACAGAGTTGATTTGTGTTTGTGCTCATCCTCCATTTTTCTGTTTTTCGTCTGCGCAGTGATGATGAGCAGACGTTTCCAAGGGTAATAGAGCTTGCAATTGTGACGTCAGCGGGCAATAGTTCAAATGTATATTCCCGCTGACGTCACATTTGAGGGAATATAACTTTCCGAGGGAAATAGTAAATCTATTTCGGAACACGTGACTAGGTATTGACCAATCAGGATTAGTGTTACATAGTGGGTATATAATAAAATATATTAACTCCCTGATCTCCAGGACCTCGAGGGCAATACATGCAGAAGCACTTAATTGGTTGGTGAAAGTGAGACACATTAGTATCTCCCCTAAATAAGTCAATTGAGCAATGCTATGAATGATCTTCATTGAAATTGTAAATGCATAATTGGTTTGTTCTTGTAAATTAAATAAGAATGCCTCATATAAAAATTCAATTCAATTACAAATTTCAATTTCAGTCAATGAAATTCAGAGAAAAAATTTATTGGAGAATTTGGGTTAGTATCATCCTAAATGTCAATATGAGTACACTGTAATATCAAGGCTTATATCAAATTAATTCATGAATAATTTTCAAACTGCATAAAATAAATGAAAATTAACCATCTTTAACTCAAAGAAGATACTTAATTAATAACTGGCATATATATGCCAAAATAAATGCTTGTTAGGACAGGTATAACGGTACCGTATAATATACTACTTACATTCTTCTGTAAGGAAAAAGATATATATTTTTGTTTTAATAGACAGTTGTAACATTCACACAATATTTTAGTTTTCTGTTTTTCCATGATGCTTTTCTTCCTGAATTTTTTTCACCTGAATTCCCGATTAAGAGGATTTCATCATTACCGACAAAGTTAAGATAAAGTCAAGATCCCATAAATCGATCATTATAATCACAAGCAACACAATTTATTGGGCATCAGGACTCAAAATTTCAGAAAGTTTTTAATTATCATAATGGATTGATTAATTAACAATGGATTATCTAATATTGGATTGAAGTAGTGTAGGTTGTTAGTGTAGACTTACAGCCATAAAACATTGGTAAGGATTAACCCAAATATGGAAGTAATTATGATTATTGAAAAATGATGCATCTGGCATTGATATAGAGCAGCAGTACGAATTGATCTTACTTGACTTCCTCTTGTAGAGCTGTCTTGAAGAGTTTAAACAGCAAGTATTCCTCTCTGTTGCTAGAGGCGTAGTTGTACAGGGTCAGGATGACAGACTCCATGAACTTTGTTGTACGGCTCTGTGGCATCTCAAAGATCAGTTTAGCAAGGTATGTAGGGTTTGTTTGTAGAAGGTAGAACAGGTGCTGGTATGCATCTAGCTTCTCTCTGGATTCCCGACTGAGTGCTTTGAGACCTCTACCTGACAGCATGTTGGGGTTTTCCTTGAAATGCTTCAGCTTTCTGTCATGAGATAACACATCCTGCAAATATATGACATATGGAGTAAAATGATTCTGTGTCATTAGGGGGTTGATCTTATATCTTACCACGTTGAGTATGTTGATGAATTACCGTATTTGCGGTAAAAAGCCTCCAGGGAGCTTTAGAAATTGAAATTCCCATTGTAACCCATTACAAAGAGCGCCATATATGAGAGAATACAATAATATGTATCGTATTCCTCGTTATTTCTTGATCTCTGTGAAGCGGGGTGGGCGCTTATTAGGAGTGGGCCCTTATTACGGCGATTACGGTATATGTAATCCTATATTTTGTGGCTATTTCCGAGAATTCATTAGATGTGAAGAAATCCTCTGAGGCTCTGGTATTCCAAATATAAAAGGATCCAAGAATAAACCAGAAACTGATGTAAAAATGATCCATAATTCTCTTTGAGGATGTTTGCATACAGAAATAAATCGTGAATGAAATTTGGAAAGTTAGCCCCCTTATACTTGTATTGTAAATGACAAAAGAAGTGGTTTGTTTATCAGAAAAGCTCTCACATTTTGAAATGTAAAATTGTGAAATTTAACTGAACTAAAAATATGTACATGACTGTTACAAACTGTTACAAGCTTAATGTTTGTTATTAACTAATACCTGCAACGTGATTCTGTTTTTCACTAGTAAACCAATCTTAATGTCCATTTGGTCAAGATCTTCTTCCAAAGTTTTGTTTGACTTGATCAGGTTGACTACCTCTTCCCTCAACCTTTGCAACTCTGCAATTAGATCATCACAATCATGTATATAGGTATTTACATAGAATAGGGTGGGAAACAAAAAAATGAAGTGAGTGAATGCCATACTAATATGTTCCTGAATTTAACAAGTGAAATGTTATTGCAGTGTAGTCTATCCATTCCATGGCACAATATACATGTACAAAATAAAGAATATAGGGCTATTGAACACACAGATAAATAAATACATATGTGTACCTATCTCTTCCTTATAATCAGCATCACTGCTATCCAGCAAGTGTACAAATTTCCTGACCACACTGAGACGAGGGTTGGGCTCAGACATGAGTCTCCTGTAGTCAGCACGTGCTTTGTTGGCTCTGAAGAATGCCTGGATCTTTATTATAGCATCCTCCTGGAAGACAGTAATGTATATTATGCAAGAACATGGGGCATTCTTGTTTACATTCCAGGGGGATAAAGGATGGATGAAAATATAAACATCCTACATGTTAATGCACAGATTGATTGAAATAACTATGTATAATGAGTATAGATGTGATGCTGAAATCAAAATTTCTTAGAAAGGGATGTCCACATTACAATGATAAAATGTAAAGTCAAAAAACAAATGAAGTGAGTGAATGCCATACTAATATGTTCCTGATAGATAGGTATGAGATATACATGTATTAGGCTCATTTAAATTGCATATACCGGATTACTGTGTATTTGATGGACACTGTGGTCAGGTTTCAAGGGATACCTTTGAAGGAGCTCAAAATGTAGATTTATAAAGACTTTCAGCCCAGAGGGTATATGCATATCTATTCAAACCCGTTTCCCCAAAGTTCTCTGACAATATATTTGATGATTAGGATTCTGTAAAAACCAGGGTTAGTTGAAGACAAAATCTAAAATCAAACCTCTTGAAACAGTAGTTAATTACTTAAATAGCATGCACAATGTTACAGTCTAAATTAATCTATATTATTTGCAGACTAACATGCATCTTTTGTGTATTTCTTATCAGTGCAAGGATTCATATATGTATGAAGAAAAGCAAATATAAAACACATCAAACGAAGGCAGGTTGGAAAGGGTACGTCAACAAGGAAAGCATTCCAGGTTGATTAGCCTGTCAGAATATAAACAATACAACATATATATTCATCAATATAATCCCAGTCCAAAATGGTTGTGCATTTAAGTTAAATAAATCACGACAAGCAACCCTGTGTGGAGGGTGGGGTAAGTACAAGTATGACATGCATCAGGGCATAAAACTGCAATGCATCACAAAAATGACATGCACTAGGGAAAACAAACTGCAATGCGTCACAATAATAACATGCATCAGGGAAAACAAACTGCAATGCATCACAAAAATGACATGCATCAGGAAAAACAAACTACAATGCATCAGAAAAGCTGTGAATGAAATGAAACTCCTGACTTACATGCATTTTATAATAACTCTGTCTACTTGTGTATTTCTTTCTAGCAAGAAACATCCGGACATTGCTCTGGATCTAAAACAGGAATATAAAACTAATGTTTTTAGCTAAAAAAAATAGAAACTAAGATTATTTGCTCGATCAAATTATTTAAAACACTGAAATAATTTCTAACAGCATTCAGCACTTCAGTTCAGGTTTCAAAAATATTTTTTAAATAGCTTCATGTTTCTAAGTGAGTACTTTAAAGTATACACTAGAATAGTATAGTAGGTGATGCTTGAGATGACATACCCTGACTACATATCTAGGGTTATTGTGAAGGGTTGCTAGTCTCTCCTTATAAAGACTCCTTTGCAGGATCATTCTCCACCAGCTCTACAAGAGTGCACACTGTATGTTATAAGTACATCTACACATAATAACACTGTAACTTTATATTATAGGTATACACAATAACTGGAGCACGCTTCATATTAAAGGTAAGTGAAGAAAGCATCAACTGGAAACAGACAAAGTGCAATCACTACAATTAGTGGAAGGTCAATCAATTCATGAGGGGGAATTACCAGAAATTTTGTAAGGTTAAGAAATTCCTAAATTATTTGTCCATGAATATAAAAGACGAGTACAAGTACGAGAACAATTATAGACTTAGGAATTCTTAACTTTACTAAGTTACTGTTAACAACCCTGAAGTGTTCAATGGAGAGCTATGAATTATAGGGAGCCAGCATCTAAAAGATTCTTCATTAGAACTATAATGAACTCTACAGCAATTGTAAAATCTTCAAATCTACAAATCTAAAACAACTGTGGACAAAGAACATTTTCTTTCTACCTGTATTTTGGTTGCAGCTGGTACTTGACGAAGCATGTAATCTTTTCTCTTCGCGTAATCTTTACGGGCCAGGAACCCCCTTATCCTTGACTGTAGAAGAGTAATGTAGTGTTCATTGGCCAGGAACGCAGCTTGGCGGTCATGAGCACATGTAGCTTCACTTATAATGGCCTGAAATATCATCAATATGGTCACAAGATATCATAGTTTTGCCTTGTTAGTACATTTTCATGAAATTTTGTCACTTTTCACCTGAATATATCTCATAAATGGATTATATCATATTGGGAAAGGTTATTTTCCTCACCTGTATATCTTCTTTGTTGAGAAGAGAGAAATCTTTAGTGCAGTCTGGCCTCCTCTCCCAGCTGTACTCCATGTTATGGCAGTTGAAGTAGAACTTGTGGCCCTCACGTATCCTATTCATCATCCAACCACTGCCACAATCACCTTCAACAAGAAAACTTGAACTTGATGGATGCGTCATAAGCTTGCCTAAAGGCTCACAGCCAGTTAATGGGCAAGGTTTTTGCAGCATTTATAGGAAAATAAAAATACTAGGAATTAAAGTCAGATCCCCAGGATTTTTTCTAAGGTGGGTGCAAAATTCTCATTTTTACAATTGAGACCAAAACTGGTCAAAATATGTCAATGTTTCATGATTTTTTTCATTTTCAAGTTGGTGCAAATGGAAGTGGGTGCTGCGCCAACTAAATAATGCTGAGGAGATCACTGAAATATTGAAATATCTATTTTTCTTTACTATGCATAACGCACCTGTTTTTTGTTTTTCAGCCTTTTCCCTGGTGAGGTATTTGAGATATTTCTTGCCACACTCAGCTGTAACACTGTGGAGACCAGCGTCAACATTAAGGAGCTGCTTCAACAAGTTTGGCACATTGCCATCATCTATGGCTATGTTGATGGCTGCCATGGCAACAGACACTGTAACAAAAATGGTATTTTAATAAAATATGTAGTTTAGTATTGAAAAGTAGAACAAAGTTAATTTTATATTGAGGACTAAGAAGGGAATGAATTTGACGATTGTCAATTTTTGACACTGTTGCTCATCATCAATGGCTTTTTGGTACAGTTTCAGTACAATAATCGTTCTGAATCTTGATTTTTTAGCTTGTTTTACTTTCCCAACCAGTCAAATTTCTACAGAAACAATATGGTGCAGAATAGCATCATTTGATCATTCACTATTTGATAAAAGATTGCTGCTTTTTATGTGGGGTACATTGCACTTACTTTTCTGTCCCTGCTGTGCATTGCTGTTGGCCTGGTGTATAGTTTGCTGTATCTCATCTAACCACAGTAAGGCATTGGCATCATTGGTCTCCTACATAACATGAACAAGGCATTAACACTACTAAGCTATTGCAATACACAGAGTTTGATGTATCTCATCTAGCCACAGTAAGGCATTGGCATCATTGGTCTCCTACATAACATGAACAAGGCATTAACACTACTAAGCTATTGCAATACACAGATGGTCACAAAGAATGGTGGATTTAACACCACTTATTGGTGGTGAGAGGATAATACTCATTTTCAAAATACTCATAAAAATAATGCTGCAATGGAAACCAAATCTTACTGCCCAAAATCCATCAAGCTAGATTGATTTTAAAAAGTCAGTGCAATATGTAATCTAAGCTAAATACTAAAGAGTCTTAGTCTTTGTTCTTACTTTGGCTTTCTTCTGCTTAGCCTCTGCCAGGAGTGCCTGGTAGTGTGATACATTGTCTGCTTGTACCCCAACTAGCTTGGCAGAGGGGACCTCTAGGGCTTTCAATGTATCATTACATCTTCTCCTCTCCACAGCATCATTAATGGCCTCAATAGCAGAAATGCCTTGAAGAAATCAATGTTTACAGCATTAATTCATGGGTATAATTTGAACTAGTTAAGAGACGACAATTGGTTTGAGTGACAAAACTAAATTAAAACTTGAATCTTTATTATATTATCAAGTTTAATTCACTTGCAATCATTGCACCAAATCCAAGAATAATGGTCCTTATTCCTAATTAGAAGCTGAATCATCCAAACTGGATAAGTTGGGTATAATGTGAAATAAAGTCAAATAGTAACTCACAGTCAGATTCCTCTTCCACTTGCTTGTTGACAACATCAACAACTTCCTGGATTTCAAAATGTGTCAGTAGATCACCAAGGCCCTGAAACAACAACATGAAATGTTTTAAACAACAAGAAATGTGTAAATAGTTCACACAGGCTTTCAAACAAGCACTTTGGAAATAGTTCACACAGGTCCTAAAACAAGAAATGTGTAAATAGTTCACCTAGGCCCTAAAACAAAAAATGTGTAAATAGTTCAACGAGGCCCTAAAACAAGAAATGTGTAAATAGTTCACCTAGGCCCTAAAACAAGAAATGTGTAAAAAGTTCACCTAGGCCCTAAAACAAGAAATCTGTAAAAAGTTCAACGAGGCCCTAAAACAAGAAATTTGTAAAAAGTTCACCTAGGCCCTAAAACAAGAAATGTGTAAACAGTTCACCAGGCCCTTAAACAAGAAATCTGAAATAGTTCACCCAGGCCTAAACAAGATAAAATGTGTAAAAAGTTTACACAGGCCCTAAAACAAGAAATCTGTAAAAAGTTCACCCAGGCCTTAACAAGATAAAATGTGTAAAAAGTTAACACAGGCCCTAAAACAAGAAATCTGTAAATAGTTCACCCAGGCCTAAACAAGATAAATGTGTAAAAAGTTTACACAGGCCCTAAAACAAGAAATCTGTAAATAGTTCACCCAGGCCTAAACAAGATAAATGTGTAAAAAGTTTACACAGGCCCTAAAACAAGAAATCTGTAAATAGTTCACCCAGGCCTAAACAAGATAAATGTGTAAAAAGTTTACATGGCCCTAAAACGAGCTGAAATGTTAGTATCAAACAAAAATGAAAAGGCCCTCCGTTAAGTTTTAATATTCTGTTTAAGAACCTCTATCCTTACTATTGAAAATGGAATCTACAAATACTCTCACACATAAATCTAATTATTTAGACTCTATAAATTAGGATTTTGTATCTATCCCCAAGGTGATATGAAGATATTCCAAGTTTAGTCAATATAGACTAATACACCCAAGATGAAATCCTCATTATCTCAGAAAAACTCAAATTGATTGGGTCTCAACAAGTAGAATATTGATAGAGAGTATTAGTACTAAAGATTCCAAGTAGTAAGAAATGGGGCTCTTAAACAGGACATTTTGCTTGATGTTTAGAACTTTTTGTTGGCTCTGTGTCCTTCTTCCAATGTGCAAATAATCCTTTGTCCAATGGCATCATCAAAATGAATGGATACAATCAAGAATTTACAGCGCTCTCAAGTGAAGTGGTTGCAGGATTGAAACAAGTGCAGTAATCTGTTTTGTATTAAAACAACACAATAGTGTGTAATTGTTCACTAAATAATCATTACCCGACAACAAAGCGTAAAAAAAGATTTGAGATAATAACTTACGATATCTCCTTATCTTACCTCAAGTTTCTCAGGTAAACTTAACATTGATCCTCATAGTAAAGCAGCCCAGGATGGCAGAATAAAGTCAGGAGATCAGATATTCTAGATAAGTTGTATAGATGTATGCAGCCGGGAAGAGGCAATCAAATTAGTTCAAAAGGGTAGATCAGATGTCACTCTGTTGCTAGGGAGACAGATTCAGATGGATGAGGGTTTTCTCGGAAGATGTTGTAAATGTAGTCCTGGATGGCCTTCACATGGACATGTTGAAACAATGCCCTCACTTCAATCCATATTTTATAGGACAGGGGAGAGGTGAAGAAGGTGTCACCGCAGATACATCAACCACAGAAAATTCTCTTGCGTGACACAGGAAGTAGGATGCACGGATGGAGGACTGCTCTGTCAAACTAAACGGCCAAAAATAACTAAATAGAAAGGACTCCCACAGTTTTTTAAAACAGGAACTGGCTCTGCTCAACAAAGAAATGCAGCATATAAAATTCAAATGTCAAGAAATTATTGACATTCATTTGAATATGAAATCACTGACGATGGGAGAATATATTAAGATATCTCGTTATCTTACCTCAAGTTTCTCAAGTAAACTTATAAGATTGATCGGTATGGTAAAGCAGCCCAAGAAGGCAAAATAAAGTCAGGATATCACAAATTATAGATAAATAGTATAGACATGTACAGCCAGGAAGAAACAATCATATTGTTCCAAGATGGTAGATCAGCTATCACTCTGTCACAAGGGAGACAGATTCAGATGGATGATGGTTTCTTGGAGGATGGTGGAAATGTAGTCCTGGATGATCTTCACATGGACATATTGAATGATACTTTATTCCACATTTAATAGGAAGGGGTTACGATGAAGGCCGGGCCACCACAGAAAAATTTCTTACATGACACAAAAAACAGAGATGTAGGAAGCATGGACAACATCTTTTCTTTGAATGACACTCAAGAGTTGGAGTTTCATAGGAATGAAATCCCAACGCAAGAATGTGGAAATCTCAAGAAGTCTTCGCTAATCCATACCCCTAGGACTGCTTTAGCAAACTAAACGGCCAAAAAGTGTAAAATAGAAAGAACTCCTATAGTTCTAACAGGAACTGGATCTACTGAATAAAGAAATGGAGCTATATACAATTACACTGTCAAAAAGTATTGATTAAAAAACCTCGTAGGTGTGGGGTAAGCTTTACCAAAACCTGAGGGAGGTGCCACTTATGGGCATTTGTCTAGATAAACTGAAAAACAGCAACTTGTCGAATGTGGAGAATGGGAAGTCAGAATCCCCCTTTAAGCCAATAGAAAACATTGAAACACCTAAACATATTGAAACATCAAGTTTTAAGAGCTTGATAAAGACGCCGCATATAACACGGCAGATAGCTCACATAGGGGCACCTTTCTCATCCTGGAGTTGAGGGTGTTTGAAGGGAACACAGGCAATTCCATGCCGCACCTCTTCTGCACAGAAATCACGTACACCAATCAGGCCAATCTAGCCCATGGTGAAACTAAAACTTTTTGAGAAGAAAAAAATAAGTACCAGTTCTCATAGAAATGATTCTATGCTCTCATGTCACCCTGATGGCAACAAAAGTAGCACCAAGGCCAAGCGGAAATCAGAGCTCCAATAAAATAAAATGGGTTGTGAAATGTTGTGCTGATGGTTCAGGGTAGACCAATCAGAAATAAAATGCTAAAATAGCTGGCAAAGAAAATAACAGAAGAAAGAGCTGGAATGACAATGAACACGGCAAATAGCTCACATAGGAGCACCCCTCTCACCCTAGAGCTGAGCGAGTTTGAAGGGAAAACAAGCAGCTCCGTACTGCATCTCCCGTTACAGGAAAATCAAACTGAAGCTCAAAATCCTCTAAAAAATCTGAAAGGAGATCAAAGTGTAATCACTCTGGGGATGGTTGTAACAATAGTGAAAGAAAGAAGTCAGCCAATAAAGGCAAGCGTAGATCCTGAAAAGATCAGGAAAGTAAATTGAAAAAGCCTCTACTACTCTGCAGGAGGAATACAAATCTACTGAAAGTTTGACAGACAGTTATGTGACATATGCAGAAGTCATGTACTACAATCAGGAAACTCTAGCCTATACTAAGATGCTGCAACTAAAAAATTATTTCAAAAGAAAATAAGTACCAGTTCTCATAGAAATGATTCGACACTTTCATGTCACCCTGATGGCAACAAAGGTGCAACACTAAGCAGAAATCAGAGAGCTCTAATAAAATGAAATGGGTCATGTATTGTCATGCTGATGGTTCATGTTATGTCATACATGGACCAATCAAAAATAAAATGCTAAATAAAAGGGGGGCAAAGAAAATAACAAGAAAGAGCTGGAATGACAATGAACACGGCACATAGCTCACATCGGAGCACCTCTCTCACCCTAATGTTGAGTGCATTTGAGGGGGACACATGCAGGTCCATGCTGCTCCTCCCAATTATGGGAAAATCAGACTCAAGTTCTAAAATATCCTCTAAAACATCTGAAAGGAGGTCAGAGCGTAATCATTCCCCGGGATGGTAATAAAAATAGTAAAAGTAACAAATCACCCAATGAGGGCAAGCGTAGATCTCGAAAAGATCAGGAAAGTGAATTGAAAAAGTCTGGCAATACTACTCCACAAGAGGAATACAAATCTACTGAAGGTTTGACAGACATTTATGCAACATACGCAGAAGTCATGTACCAACCAGGCCAATCAAGTAAATACTATGATGGTGCAACTAAAACTACTTGAAAAGAAAACAAGTACCAGTTCTCATAGAAATGATTCTATGCTTTTATTTCACCCCAATGCAGCAAAAAAGTGCAGCACCAAAACGGAATCAGAGCTCCAATAAAATGAAATGGGTTGTGAAACATCATGCTGATGGTTCACTTTATGTCAAAAGTAGACCAATCAGAAATAAAATGTAAAAATAGTGGGCACAGAAAATAACAGAAGAAGGAGCTGGAATGACAATGGGAAGTCAGAATCCCCTTCTAGCCAATAGAAAACATTGAAACACCTAAACATATTGAAACATCAAGTTTAGAGCATGATATAGACACTGCATATAACACTTTAGATAGTTCACATAGGAGCATCTTTCTCGTCCTGGAATTGAGCGAGAATGAATGGTACACAAACAGCTCCATGAGAAAAATCAGACTTTAGTTCAAAATCCTCTAAAAAATTCGAAACTTTTTGAAAAGAATACAAATTCCAGTTCTCATAGAAATGATTCTACACTTTCATGTCACCCTGATGGCAACAGAAGTGCAGCACCAAGTGGGAATCAGAGAGCTCCAATAAAATGAAATGGGTCGTTAAACATTGTGCTGATGGTTCACATAATGTCACACGTAGACCAATCAGAAAAAATGCTAAGAAAATGGGCAAAGAAAAAAGAACTGGAATGACAAAGAACACAACTATTATAGGCGTACCCCTCTCACTTTGGAGTTGAGCGCATTTGAGAGGGGTACACGCAGCTCCATGCTGCACCTCCCCATTACAGGAAAATCAGACTTAAGGTCGAAATCCCCTAAAAATTCCGAAAGGTCGGAGTGTAATATAGTAACAAGCTAGCCATTGAGGGCATGCATGGCTCACGAAAAGATTGAGTATGTGATGTAAAACCAGGTGGTACTACTCCATAGAAGTACAAATCTACTTAAAGTTTGACAGACATTCATGCGACATATGTAGAAGTCATGTACACCAATCAAGCCAATCAAGTCAATTCTATGATGGTGCAACTAAAACTTTAAAAAAAAAACAGTTCTTAAAGAAATGATTCTGTGCTTTCACGTCACCAAAATGCAGCAAAAAAGTGCAGCACCAAGCGGGAATCAGAGCTGCACCAATAAAATAAAATGGATCGTGAAACAACGTGCTGATGGTTCACCTTATGTTACATATAGACCAATCAGAAAAAAATGTTCAAAGAGTGGGCAAAGAAAATAACAGAAGAAAGAGCTGAAATGTTTAAGTTTTAGGCTATCAGAATCCACTCTTAAGACAATAGAACATATTGAGACAAGTTTAGAGCTTGATTAAAGGAGCACCCCCTTACCCTGGAGTTGAGCGCGTTTGAGGGGGACACACACAGCTTCATGCTACGTCTCCATGCCATGGAAAAATCAGACAAAAGCTCAAAATACTCTATAAAACACCCAAATGGAGGCCAGAGTGTAATCACTCCCAGGATGGAAGTAGCTGTAGTGAAAGTAACAATTCAAGTGCAGATCACGGAAAGGTTGGGAAAGTGATGTGAAAAAAATCTGGTGATAATTCTCTGCAGGAGGAATAAATATCTAATAAAAGTTTGACAGACATCTATGTCACATACGGAGAAGTCATGTACACAAATCAGGCCAATCTATAGCTTATACAATGATGGTGCAACAAAAACTTTTTAAAAAGAAAATAATAAGTACCAGTTCCCATAGAAATGATTTTATGCTTTCACATCACCCAGGGAATGGGTCTTGATATGTCATGCTGATGGTTCAAGTTATGTCAAATGGAATATGGAGATGTAGGGAACATCTGGAGGCAGCTGATTTCAGTAGGGCTAAATCCCAAATTAATTGACACAATGTTGAAATATCTTTAAAACTTGATTCCTTCTTTTAAGGATTATCATTTTTAGAGCACCTACCAAATATGAATAATGAACTCTTTTGAATTTAAAAGTTAAACCTGTAACAAAAATTGTAGATCAGCCGTAAAGACTTTAAACATAGGTATAATTTGCTATATTACAACAGTATTAGCCAATAGATTCACCAGTTCTTAATTTGGTGTCCTTCATTGCTAATGATGATTCAAATAGATATGACAGGATCCGCTGGGAAGCTGCATGCTCATGGAAGTTTTATCAATAAAAATGGATTGCAAATAAAAAAGGAAGGAAGTCCTGTTTGTCCAACAACGGTGGTAAGAGATTTCAAAGAATTTGAATCTCAGCGAAATCTAAGGCCTCATGTTTTTTAAAGTATCATAGAGTAGAGTGTCCAAATAAAAACAGGACCGTAAGAAAGTTGAATAATTCTGTCAATTTTGCATATTTTGCTTTGAAATTTAACACGCCCGGTGATCAGAAGAAATGAACGGAGAGGGAGGGGGAGGGGGGAGTAGCTGATTTTCGGTAGAAAATCCAACAAATCTTGGAGATTTATTATTTCTAGAGAAAGTTTACAATTGCATTGCTAAATGAATAGGTGCAATGCCATGAAAATATGTTAGGTCTTCCAGGATTTTTTTTGAACTGATGGAGTTCTAAGATAAAAGATCTATTGAAAAAGGTGCAGCGTCGCAAACGTGCAAATGCCAATGTTTTTGCTATAAATCAAGCAACAGGGGTATACACGACCTGTAATAAATACTTGTAAGTGAAGTTATTATCACAAAACTATTGTCATCATTGGTTTTGTAAAACATGTTACCATAAGGGGAGGCATCAAAAGTTCGATGTCGGATCGGAAACTAAATAAATCTAGTTTTGACTCTGACCCCCCTCCCCCAAAACTAAATACCATGAAAGTTGATCGCTTACTTCCGGTTTGAGAATTTGAAAAATTATTGCTAAACACGATCTAGTTTTTGTTAATTCCTATCGTAATTTGCGTAATTTTTAACAACTATTGATGGAATAGAATCCATTGGAATGATCTTGACGAAGAAAGCAGCAGGTAAAATCTTTATTTTTATACCATCCCAAGGCATTCTGAGTCGAAATTGCCAAAAGTTTGAAATTTGTCGGATAGCAAACTGAAATGGGTTTGAACCCCCTCCCCCCCTAACTAGATTTATTTAGTTTTATATCCGACATCGAATTTTTGATGCCTCCCCTAAGTTATGTAAAAACAATCAATAATTGACTGGGGGGGGGGGGGGGGGGTAGTGAACGAAGGGGGGGGGGGAGAGAATGAATGGGGGGGGAGAATGAATGGGGGGGGGGGAGTAATGTGTCTCTAAGACATATGATAAGAGATGTAACATGGCTTTATTTCCAATAACTCCATATGTCCCTATTTTCACTTCTCTGAGTTGTAACATCAAGTTGTTACTGAGTTGCTGAATTCATTTTTCAGATACACAAATTCACGGAAATTTCTTCTACCTTAAAGACATATTACTCCCACCCCCCTACGTTACTCCCCCCTCTGTTCAATTTAAATTATTTTCGATTATTTTTTATCTACCGTTTGGAAACTTATTTTAAAAAACGGCAATGACATGCTTGATTTATAGCAAAAACATTGACATTTGCACATTGGTGACGCTGCGCCTTTTGTAATAGATATTTTATCTTAGAAGTCCATCAGTTCAAAAAAAATCCTAGAAGACCTAACACATTCCTCGTGTACTGTGCCTATTCATTTTGCAATTCAGTTGTAAACTTTCTCTTGAAAAAATAAATCTTTCAGATTTGTTGAATTTTCTTGCGAAAATCAGTACTTCCCCCTCCGTTCATTTCTTCCGATCACCGGGTCGTGTTTATGAATTATTTAGTTCATTTAATGTGAATTTTGTTCTGAAAGTTTGATCATAATCTGTCAATTGTGTCAAAAATTACATTACCTTACAAAACATGCTCACAGTGGGCACTTTTCCTCTCTATGCACAAATGAATCATGCGAAAAAAGTTGTTAATGACCCTGACCTATACACACCAATGTGGATAATACGAATTAGGGGTAATTATTGCCCTCTTAAGTTTGTTAGGAGCCTGTTAGTATACACATTGGCTTTGAGAAATCCCCAAAGATAGAAATCTGGGGGATTTGGATCTGGCAAATGAGCTGCCCATATGTTTTGCATTCTGTGACTGATGAGCTGACCACCAAAGCATTGCCATTGATTCCATTTTTGCTCAATGCCACCCAGGCAGTGCATTATTCAGAATGCAATGGATGCTGTAACACTTCATCAGGAGGATGTAAGCCCCAAAAGCAGCTGTTCTTGGAATAAATGTGTCCATTCAAAAAGAAATAAGTGAAGGAGGATCATCAACAACTTTGTTTTCCATATTGAATTGTGCATAGAGAGGAAAGTTGCACATTTGGGGCATGTTTTGTAAGGAACTGTAGTTTTTGACTCAATTGGCAGATTATTATCACCACTTTCACAACAAAATTTACATTGAATGTACTGAATAATTTTTTGGACACCCTATATTGAATTGTCATAAAAGGAAGCCTGGAAAATTTTGATGATTGCATCTGAAATTAAAATAAAATCAAATCAAAAGAACAGTCTATTTGGTAGCTGGCGCACAAACATTGCAAGCTGTAGTACAGGGAGGCTCTTTGCACAACAGCTGACTAAATCATGAAATGATGAGTTTTATTGGCAATGATTACCCCAAATAGCCCCAAACTCAATAAAGCCAAGCATATGGGCGTTTTCCTGATTCTTAGAAGCTTGTCAAATGCAACAGAACTGAAAATACTGTGAAATCATACCACACATATTTGATAATTCAAGAAATGAAGTGGCTTTAAGTTTTCTAATCATTTTCTATCCTGGAATATAGCCTGACCAACAGTCCAACACAAAGATTAGAGATACATCATGGAAAGAATATATGTATGTAGTAATAAAGCAAAAATGGAAGGCAACTGTTCTTGCAATCCATCTTAATATATTATATGTTACCTCATCATTCTTCGCCTGCCTTGTCTTGGCTAAATGTGTGAGATATTTATCCTGTAGAGTCTTATCAATGTTACTGATGTGCGCGTGTTTGTAGCTGAGAGCTTTGATTATCTCATCAGGGTTGCGAATATCCACAGCTTTGTTGATCTTACCAATAGCAGACAAAACTGAAATAGACAGAATATGTATGTGTGTGTTGGGACAAATTGTCATTGGACCTACTTTGATTCAAAAATGCCATTCAAAAATATCAAAATTGTATTTTAATATTATCTTGTAAAGTTTATTTCTGGAGTGGGCTAGAGCGTAATTTTTCAAAAACTACACTCCTATTTAATTGAAAAAGACATTCTGAATTTTAGAAATGCAATACGTAATTTTTAATAATGCCATGTATCAAATAAGAATGTCACCTTAAGATACATTGACAGGTTGAAATATGTTTATTTTCCTGAAGACTTTTTCTTTTATTTTCTCTGCTTACCAGCCAACTTAGAATAACTAATTTTGCAAAATGTATGAAATAGAACATACCTTTTACACCACCCAGAATCTCAGCATATTCAAGTTCATTCTGGAAGATAAAAACATAAATAAATGTACATGTATACTGTCAAAATGAACACAAATGTAGAATAATGCTACGGCCTAAGATTTATAATAAATCTAGAAACGTAAAAGTATATATCAGTAAACTTGATTGGAAGTGATGGGTAAATCAACAACAAATACAAATTGATGTGAAAATCTATTATAAGTGATTTATTGGTTGATCTAATTTTCAAAGTATTTCTGCAACTCATGTTCAACTGTTCAAGCATTGTGTTATTCTCATCTGTGATATTTGTAGCAATATAAGATTTGATAGTGAAAAATTAAAGCTTCTACCTCTGCTATTATTTCTAGAGTGGAACTTGGAATGTGTTACCTATTATTTATAATCACATACACATTAATCAAAGTGCAAATTTCAAGAAAACTACATTTATACCATATCATTAGCAAAAGCAATTAAAGTTATAATGATGTATGAAATCTACTAATTTCACAATTTATCTATTGGTTTAATCTACAGGTACTATTATATTATACATAAAGCAAAATCACAAAAGATCAGTAGAGTGTATTTCCCAATAAAAGGGAGATGTTAACTTTAGATATTGCTAAGGGGATGTGCATTTTAAGTATCCTTTTTGAATAAAAATTGACAGAATATGTCAAGTAACACAAGGAAAGCAAGGTGAAATTTAAGTCAATACATATTAAATCTAATAGACTAGTAATGTGTAAAAGGAAATTAATGAAACAAGTGCAGGGTCACAAAACAATGCAAGCTTAAAATCAATGAATATTAATCTAAACTACCTTCACTCCACAGTCCTGTCATATGAGAAAACAAACATTGCAAAACATTACAAAAAACTACATGTAAAGCTTGTCGCACATTACAGAATCTACAAAAAACTCAAGCCTTTAATTTTGAAATAACTTAATTATGATGGATGGTAAAACTATGATTTCTCTTTTCTGTCAATCTCAAAGTCTTGTTTACTACTGTTCCTTCATCGAGATACAAAATTATAATAGAGAAAGTTATTCCATAACATGGGGTTGGTTTTTGTGTCCTCATATACTTTATCTAGCACAATAAATGCAGACAGTGCACAAGACAATGCCGGTGAAATGAACCCAGCAGGTATGGTAAATAAATTAAATGACAACATTTACAAGCAACACAGACAGCTACAACATCTATTTATTTAAAATGAAACCTTAAATGAATTTACAGTACTAAAATGCGAGTTGGTATGTTGAGAAAAGTCAATACTACAGCACAGATTCGTAACAAGATGGGAAACATAAAAGAGAAGACTAACTTACCCCTTTCTCAGATTTGATGTTAAAGAATTCATCCTGATATAACGGAGCCGCAAAGTCAAATACTTGTGGGAGTTGAGCGTGAGGGTTCTGCAGAGCTTGTAGTGTTTGCATTGGATCTCCAGACTCCAAAGCAACATTGATTTTGGCAATTGCATCACATTCTAAAAGACAAAAATATTGCTTGTTCCACAAAGTTTGATGTAACATGTATCCTGCTCAATATATTGCAAGGATAACTTAAATGAAATGTATGTACTTAATCATGAGATGTAGCTTACTTTAAAATTTAAAATGACATTGTACATTTGTATTAACATATATGCACACCAAAATGCTATCATTTAAATGCATATTTTTAAAATAATAAGCACTTACTAAGTTGTTCTGAGTCTCCTGCCATGTTGGCTGTCAAAATAGCAGTCTGGACATCATTCTTGTCAAGGAAACCTGACTCTGCTCCATTGTTATTCTGAAGGTAAATAAAATAAAAACATTTAGGCAATCGGTTGCTATGGTAGTTAATAACTACCTGATTTTAAAGAAAAGCTACCTATTACTTTACCCAGTAGTTATTTTGGCCACCCACACTCTTAGATTGAGCCAAGTATTGCATGATTTGAAGCAATTTTTACCAATTTTGCAAAGGGTTACTCAGTAACACTTATACTTTACATAGTTCAACTTATATCAAAATACCCCTGGCCCTGTACATGTATAAATCAATTTTATCCTTCACTTGTTTTAAGGAAAGGGGAATACCCCAGAATTCATAGATGCACACTTCTCTGATGTAAACTAGATCATTGATTGGCCAAGGAGGGTTCATCTGGGGTCATGGAAAAGTACCTCTTCTTTGTCTTAGCGTGAGAAAATCTGATCAGTGAAAATGAAATTCAAATCTGTCAATCAACACATAAACAAAACCTCCCAGCTCTGACGTTTGACCAATCAGATTTTAGCATTTCAATGTAAACAACCTAGTATGTGAAGTGTGCCCAGAGTCAGCCAACAACCAATCAAATCATGTATATTGCCGTCATACTAAAACAATGCTTTACAGCTAATTAATAAATAATACCGATCTCAAAGATGGAATCTAAACTTCAAATTATAAGAACTTGAAATCCCTATGATGTTTTATTGGATCTATCTTTTAGATCCAATAAAATTCAATTAAATTAAATGTGCATTTAGAAGTCAGTAGTAGCATCAAGCCACCAAGTCCCATGCTTACTATAATCTAGGGATCTAGTGGGGGCGGGGTTTGAACTATTGTTCCTGTGCTTTTTAGGGTGCACTGGGTGTGCACTATAGGTAATAGGTAAATGTCAATTAATTGAAAATTAATTGGTTTTATGTGTGTTTTATGGGAGTAGTTAATTGTTGTTGCGATTGTCAGAATTTGATGTAAACAAATCGGTTACTAGGAAGTAGAGTTGAATGTAGGTCAACGCACATGCGCAGAAGAACGCCATTTTCCATTCATTTCTTGATACAAGGAGAAAGCAGGTTGTTATCTGAGTGAATCTCGCCCGCCATCCCTCCCCCATTTACCACCCATGAATTATCCCCCAACTAAGGTGAGATCAAGAAATGGTAAGATAGTTATTGTTAGTGGTACATGAAGGTAAGCAACCAAAGTAATCACCATGGTATTGATCAGATGTACTATTTTATTTTTAGCTAATAAGAAAAAAAAAAGTGTAACAATAAAAACTACTCCCTAAGAAACCCACATAAACCAAAAAGACAAATAAATTCCCCTCCCAAAAGTTTGGAAATAATTGTAGTAGGAATACTACCCTCTAAAAGTATGGAAACAGTTATAAAGGAACACTCCCCTAAAAAATTTGGAAAGAAATGTAGTAGGTACACTCCCTCCAAAAGTTTGGAAACAATTGTAATAGGTGCACTCCCTTCCAAAATTTTAAACAATTGCAATAGGCACAGTATAACTGCTGTAGGTGCACTACCCTCCAATAGCTTTTAAACTCTCCGAATTTTTGAATGTTGGAAGTTATGCATTAATTTGAGAGAATTTCAATACAGTGAGTCAAATTTTTATAAATGTGTGCATCGGTGCATTATTAGCCTACATTGGCACAAGATAAACATTATATGCTGGGTATATGTTATTTTTGAAATTTTATATACAACTACCTGACAGAAGCAAATAACTACCTGAAAATTGGCCAGGTAGTTATTTTGGCACCAGGCAAAATATCTGAGTGTCGAGGCCTGCATGTAAAGTTTGGGTGTATATTGTAGTCTTACCAAATGTTATCAAAATGTGTTATGTGAACTATTTAATATGAAACTTTAATTGTATTGACATTATTTAGCAATAGTTTACACATAACAAATATATATTTTTATTTTGCAGGTTATTCTTTTTCAAACATTTATGGAATATTAAGAATACACCTGAACATATAAGTGCAGTGAATAGTAAACCAGTTAACTGCAATACATACCCTCTTGTCCTTTTGTATTTGTCTGAGTTGTAGCAGGTATTGGGGAGCATACTGTGTATTCACCTTCATCAGGTTTAAATGATGTGACCTGAGACTGCTACTCAATAGGTCTGGACTGTTACTCTCCACAGCTTCATTCAGGATTGCTAGAGCCTGCAGGGCTAGAATACAAACATTCATTGAGAGCCTTTTCAAAATCATCTACACAAGTTCATATCAGATTTGAGCTTTGTTGACCTTCACAGGGTCAAAAGATTACTTTTTTGAATTTCAATATCTATTTTTTTAGGATTATGCCAGAACTAGATTTCCTTTTTACCCAAAAATACTTTAAAATGGAATACAAATGCCCTTTAGTTTAGATTAGATTTACAATTATGTGTACTGAAGTGCATCTAAGAAATATTGGTTATTACAAAGCAATAGTTGCTAGTGTTGACTCACTGTTGACTTTGTTGATGTTTCCCTGTATCTCTGCCTGTGTTAGCAGCTCATCATAAACATCAGGCTCAAATGTAACATCTGGATCAATGGACTAAAACATAAAACAAATATTGTTTGTCTGTCTGGGCAATAACTCAAAAAACTTGTTGTCATATTTGAATCAAATTATAGGCTGCTTATGGGCATTGGGCCTCTAATGGAGAATTTCTAATCTTGGTCATTTGCTACTCTGGAGAGTTGCTGTTTTTTCTAGTTGTACAATGTACATGTTTCACTGGAAGTGGTAGGCTTTGTTTTTCAAAATTAATATTAAAATTGAATAAAGAAGTTAATTATTCTCAAAATGCACTAACAATCCAATCCCAAAAGTTTAATCTATCTTCAATATTACATACTTTGTTTCCTGAGTTTTCAGCTTTAGTATTTTTGGCAATATACATGATCTCCTGGTAGTCATCTGCATATTCTGGTATGATCTGCACCAAGTGGGCTGCAGGGTTCTGCAGAGCTTGAATGGTACCAGCCACATCATCATGCTCCACAGCATCATTGATAGCAATTACTGCAGCATGCACTAAGAGTAAGAAATTAAAAGAGATAGACAATGTGGTTTGACTTCAAGAAACATTTTTCAAATGAAATATATTTCTTATATATTTCTTTTATTTTAGTGGGTGCAGCTCAGGCTGTACTGGTCCACTAGATGACAGGCTAGTCAATAATGTAATGTTCATCCAATCTGAAGACAAGCAAAATTTCAATGACAACTTACAACCTAACATGCATAAGCTATGAGTGAGAGCATCCAGAATTCATTCATGAAATCATTAGGTTTTAATACAAATACAGAGTGACCCAAAAATGCAATGCTCCATTTTTGGAGAAGTTATGGATATCTCTATTCATGGGTTTCACTTTTGGGTTACCCTATATATTTATTTCTAAGACGTGTATGCTGAACTAGGGGATCTATGTGTGATATAAGTGAATGGTAACCTACATGCTGCTTCATCAACTGGCATCTCATTGGCAAGAATTCCTCCTATCTTGCTGAAGGCAGGCATCTGGATGCCATACTTGTCCAACTCTTTCCTCATAGCACTGATCTCCTCATCTGGAAACACAATTCAGCTCTAGTAAAGTTTAATCTTTATAAATTCTACAAGTACTCAATCAGTCTGGCGTAGGGCTCTAGTAGTTTAATTACAAAAAAAACTAGAAAAACACCTGGAATAGTATATCCCATTGGGTTATCATCAATTATTTTTCCCCCTGAAAATATGCACCCATTTTAAAAATTCCTACTTGAGAAGAGTGCATCTGAACAAAAAATCTAATGACTGGTATTTGAGTTATCCAATTTATGTTATGCACTGAGAAATTACAGACTCATACAAATTTTAACTTATTTTAATAAGTTTAGTTTATGGATAACGAAATAAACCATGCCTGCTTAACCTTATATAGAGTTTGGCGTGACTTGTTTGACATGTTGTGGTTGCACACGGATGCACACATATTATTAGAGCTATATTTGTAATGTTCTTTCTTCTTTCAAATGTAACCAAGCTGAATACACGTTGGTCTACATTTGGAATTCAAGTATCCACCGTCATCCCCATCCTCATCACCTTCATTGAATTTTGCTAGTACGTTTTGGCATAGTTTGTTTTCAAGTTGCAATTATTCGTTTCAATTCATTCTTCCCCAACTGCAATTCATTACATTTTAATGATAGTGCAGCTGCTTCAAGATAAACCAGTTCATAGTATTCGATTATGTAAATATATATCGCTTTCTATGTACATAATTGTCTCCAATTTCAAACAATCATGTTCGCAACGCGACTTATCTAGCTGATAAGATAGGTACACTCTACGGTTTACCGTCTTCATTGTTTGAAAGTGAATTAGGTTTACTTGGGCTGTTTCCCGACAATCACGGTCCCGCAGGGCTACAGTTCCGCAGAGCTGGCTGGAGGACCCCGCGCATGGTCTCAACTCTAGCACCGATTGTCTCCTAAGTTAATACCACTTAATGACTTATGCATATACGCAATTGCATCACAAGGGTGACTTCGCTATCATTTTTCAATGGACATTCTTTTGAGGCATAGGGAATAAAGCCAATTAATAGTTGATTGTATATATTTGTATGCAGAATTAAATATTCATATTTTCTTGTTTCTAATTGATTGTTTTGTTGTTAGACATAAACCTGTACACACAACAGCATTTAAATAGAAGATAACTCAGTCATTTGTCAAACTGTGAGTAGGCCAGGAGTGAACCATAATTTCAAAATGTTATTTTCTTTTATAAAATGGGTTTAACTATGTACTCTAGTCATTTACCTGAGAACTTGATTTTGCCATAGAGGTCTTGTATTTGTGGAGCCAGGCCAAGCTTAAACAGATAGAGGCTGAGTGCATGGATGCAGTATATTGTCCTTGGCATATTCTTTCTGTCATAGATGTCTGTAGTCTCGGGATAAAATATCTGAAATGACAGATCAACATTATATCGTAAGATTATTTATCTTGGAGTTATTTAGGTCAATGAATGCATACTCAAAATTGAGGGAAGCTCATCATGTCCATGTCCAAGCTCATCATGTCCATGTTTGAAATGAAGAGAAGAGTTAAAATTGAAAAATGTTTCTTTCTGCTTGCTGGTTGTTTGAGATGTCAGCATGATGAGTTTGAATTGATTCATGACCAAGGCAGGGTGTGATGGCCACCAGCAGTGGCGTGGGGCTGCTAACTCAAAAATTGTCTTTACTATTCTGAGAAAGTCTATCATGTAAATCTTGCCATTTTTGAAGCAGCAGCCAATATGACAGATTTTGTACACAAGGTTTACCATTATACATGTACAAATGTACATCTTTCCGCAACTATGCAAGCAATTTTTAAAGCTTCAGTATTAACAGTCTCATAGGTTTGTCAGTTTGTAGAAAAAAGTTAGAGGTTATTCTGATTTTTTTAATTAATAGATTTAAGGATCAGATATAGTAAAGGTTTTGATATAATTATTGAAATAACATATTAAATTATTTAAATTGAAGTTATACTATGAGCTATACAGTAAGTTAGCAGCCTGAATATTGATTTCATCCCATTAACATTGTGTCAGCTGCATCTAATGCTTTATATTATGGCTTGAATGCATTGGAATGTTTCATAATAAAACTTCAGTTAATACAACACAGACTACATGCAGTGAAGCAGGATATACAATCATGCAGAATCTAGTTACTCTGTTAGTTTATTGAAATGTTATTCAGTTAATGACAACTCATTAGTGTACTCTCATTTAACATGCATTTTTACTAATATAAGTGTTGAAATGAAAGTGAGCTGTTAATGGTTAAATGAGCCCATCTCCACTTTAGTTAATTCATTTATAACTGCAAATGAGAAGTTTTGTGTAGTTTTTTTTACATTTTCACAGTTTCATGTGGATATTTACACATTATTACACACTTTTTCAACTCTTTTTGAGAAAGTGAGCAACTACCACCAAATTGTTATTTTCACATCACTGTAATTTGAATTGTAAAACAAAGGTTACTTTGAACCCGAGGCTGAGTACTTGGTGAGGGCATATAATGAATTTACTATTAAGGTGGTTGTTTACCCAGAGGCCTAAAATAACTTTGTGATAAAGTGCATATATTTTTATATTAAAATGACGATGACATAATTATGCTTCATAATCAAACAAATAAAAGTTGGTGTCACCCACTTTTTTCTAAATCTAGAAAACAATTTGATCCCCCATGTTAGGGAATATAAGAGTAGGTAGGATTTATTTTCTCCAAAACTGAATGACAGGAATATAAAATTTTGAAAAGTTGTTAAGTTTTAGAAAATAAAAATCAATGGTCTATACTTTTTATTATTATATCTCTTCAAAAAATACAATTTAACATTTTTTGTATGTTTTTATCTAACGTGTTGCTAATTGTAAACCTAAAGTGCCAAAAATATGTTTAAATGCCATTAAATGGGCAAAATTGATAAAATCCATTAAATCATGTATCAATATAAAGTAAACAAGGCATGCAAATTGTCACCACCTGCCATTTCTTACAGATGCTGACAGCCGAACGCAGACCACCGAACACCATCCACATAGGTGGGAGACTATAACAATATGCAAACACTTCTAATGGTGACATAAAAACTCATTTTCCAAAAGTGTGGTTTCACGAAATGTATATGTCCTAAAGCTGAACACTGACTTCAAATCATTGTTCCTATGCTATAGCATGGAGCGACCTATTGCCAGTAAAAAACTACCTTAATTGAATACAACTAAAGTCAACAAATAATAGTATGTATATTGCATTCATGGCTCAACAAATTAACATGTTTTTGTTTTGCAAAAGTGAATGTTATAGATCTGTGTTTTGTGTTATAATGGATATCTGACTAGTGGTGGGACTCGCCACCAAAATCTCTACTCGAGTAAAATGATAAATTTGACGATCGAGTAGACGATTTTGGCGATTATTTTAGAAAAAATTGACAAAAAATTAGAACCTGGAAAATCAAGGCATTTGTCGACTTTTGGTTTAATGACCACTCAATGATGTAGTTCTGAACAGATTGGGTTCCGTTTTGGATGTTTTAGACGCACATTTACCGTATATTAGCGATGATATAAGCCTTTCATAGATTTTTTCGACTTTGAAATTCCCACTTCCGTCAAAATATATATGCACATGCGCATGCGATATACCGGATGTAAACAAACATAAAAAGCAATGAATACGATTCTCATACGTTATTCTCATCAAATTACCATTAAATCAACAAAACAATCTGCAGAATATAGTCAGAAGTATGTAATTTATTAAAAAAACATAAAGGCAGCTACATTCCTTGCTTAAATCGTGAGTATGGAGGGTAAATCGCGATTTTTCTCAGAAATTTTCAGGATCACGATTTTCAAATTTTCAATCGATTGATCATTTTTCTAGGCTCATTCGAGTTCTAGTCGATTACCCGAGTCACTCGTTACACCACTATATCTGACAAGTAGAGAAGTTTGTGAATATTGTACAAGATTCATGCTAATGATAGTACATATTGATCTTAGGGCTAGAGGTGACACCAGGACATCATGGTCATTCAAAAATTAATCTAAACAGTGATCAATCAATGACCCTTTGCTAACTTGAAATTAATTTACTGAGTTATTATTTCAATTCAAATATTGTAAAACAATCAAGAAATGAAACAGTCATTTGTGGATCTTAGTCTAAGTCCATTTTCAAGATTTTTATGCCATTCAAATGATCTCTAAGTTCCTAATCTTGAAATTCATAACAAGTTCCAGAAAGTTTGGAGGTCTGCCCTGATCAAAACATAGTCCCTAAAGATCAAATAAAAAAGCAAAAAAGTTAGAAAGTTACAACTATTCCTACCTTTGGGAACTTGATTTCTTCCATTGCCTTCAACCAATGGTTTATGTTGTCAGTATGTCTGAAATGCAATCCCCTCATCTAGAAATCAGAAAACAATACCATTTAAGAAAATCACAATTCATTAAAATGTAGTTGGAATTCAAATAGAAATTCAAATTTTTAAAAAAATAGTAAGCACAGTGTGAACAATAGCATATACTTTAAGGAGCCGAAAATATTTGTATGGGCAAAACATAAGATGATAATATTATTTTCCATTAGGAAATAAGTACATATAGGGGTACTCTAAAATACATGTATAGTTGACTTTACATACCTCATATTTCTTCTGGTCGGGATCATAGATCTTTTTGAAAGGGACAGTTTGTTTGGAGAAGAAATGACCGAGCTTAGCCAGGGCAACTCCATTTCTGAGTCCCTCTTCTAGCTCTGTAGTTGCTGGGAGCTGCTCATTTATGCAAGCCTGGATCCACCTAAAAACACCATCCATATTATTATGAATAACCCATTGTATACTTGACAAATCACATACACTTTAACAGTCTACTGCATGCTTAAAACATTAGCACCTACGCTTTGACAACTTATTGAACACTAGTGACTATTCTGTTAGGGATTGGACAAGTTGTCAAAACTTCAAGACTTACAAGGAACAACTCTTAGAGCACCATTATTGAGTACTAAAGTAACACATGATGCCCTGCAGCATACAAGTGAATCACTTAAGGGCTACTAGAAAATTATTGCGGACTATCAAAACATTGTCAGGGCATTCTTGGGAAATCTAAATGGCTTCAAAGAAACCAAAAGGGCCTGGGTATTATGGCACCACCAGGACCTAACAGGAACCACTAAGATTTCTAAACAAACTAGAAAAAACAGCAACTCCACGGAGTAGCAAATCCCACCGAACAAAACATGTTTTGATAAATAGCGGCCATATAAAATTTGAGCCAAATCCATCCATTGATATTTGAGTTATCAAAGATTACGTTCTTTTAAGAAAAATGGCAACCATTTTAAAATTCAGCTGCCATTTTGAAAATTCTTCCTCAAACAGAGCTACTGTGTCCCTAGGCATTATCATATAAAATTTAAAACAAATCCGTTCGCTGGTGTTAGATTTATCAAAATTTAATGTATTTTTTACGAAAAATGGCCACCATTTTGAAATTCAGTGGCCATCTTGAAAATTCATTTTTGAACAAAGCAACTGTGTCCCTAGCCATCATCATATAAAATTTGAACCAAATCCCTTCACTGGTATATGAGTTATCAAAGATTCGAACATGACTGTATTCACGCCTTCTATAAACTGTAAACAAAGTCAATGCTTCAGCTGGGTTATATTCGAGATCAATAACCCAGTTAATACGTGTAATGTGTGACGTCATAACGGTGGTTCGTAGTAATGGCGGACCACGATGAATATTCAAAACAATTTGGTGAGTTTTCATGTTCGAACCGTAATATAGACCTCAGAGCAGGGTTACTAGTTTCGAATAACACCCCGCTGGTCGCGGCATAAAAGCTTTCGAACCCCTCACTCCCTTCGGTCGTTCGGGGTACAGAAAACGTTTGTGCCGAGACCAGCGGGGTGTTATTCGAAACTAGTAACCCTGCTCTTTGGTCTATATTTCTTAATTACGTTTTTTACGAAAATTGGCCGCCATCTTGAAATTCAGCTGCCATCTTGAAAATTATTTCTTGAACAGAGCTACTGTGTCCCTAGGCATCAGCATATAAAATTTGAACCAAATCCGTCAACTTGTATTTGAGTTATGATTGATCACATTTTTTAAGAAAAATGGTGGCCATTTTTAATTGAGCGGCCATATTGAAAATTCCTTCTCAAGCAGAGGTCCTACACCCATAAGGCAAAGGCCTATAAAATTTGAATCAAATCCGTATTTGAGTTATCGCCCGGACAAACAGACGGACGAACGGACGGCTTTCCTATATCCCTCTCGAACTTCGTTTGGTGGGATAATAAAATAGTGACTTATATCCTGAAACATATATTGCGACATGTTTGGTGTTAATTTCAGCTCACAATTTTGTTTCTTTCATGCCCAACTATCTCTAAAACATAGTCAACCCCTTAAAAATAGGTGGCTCTCAAGATTTAAATCAATTAATTTTTTTTAATTTTTTAGTTCAGATACCAGTGAAGCCTATCAAACAAATTATAGCACATTGTGACAAGAGTGTCTGTGTTATGTTTCACTATATTTTGCACTTTAAGTATCTTACACTTTAGCCTCTTCTAGATGACAGAGGTACTGGTAGGCCACATTCTCTGTCCTCTGTAGGTCCATCTGCTCAGCAGACATTCTCCCATACACCTCTCCATCAGCCATGTCTGGGGATACAAAGAAATCAAATGTTTAATATTAATATTTGTTGGGAAAGCCATTCACAAGTTTTAGACATACATGTACATGTAATTTAATCGAAATCAGAAACTTGGCAAATACATAACCTTTCCAAAATTCCAATAGTTTTATTTTGTCTTCCTTAAAAGAGAGTTTCATCTACAATTTTAGACAAAATAAAACCATTTAAATATGCATTGATGCTTTTTCCCTTGAGAAGGACTTAGTCATTTTAATTATAACGTCTCTATATACTTCAGATTCAAATAATTTCTAGGTCAAGGTAAGATGCAAATAACAAACAATCCACATCTTGTTGTAGTATTATATTGCCTGATGGAATTAACAAAAAATAAATACCAGGTGACTAAGATAACTGCACAAGTTTGATCTGTATTCATGGAGGAATAGATAGACAGATGGATGGATAGCTACTCTATATCCCTACTTGAACTTCTTTTTACAAGATAAGTTATTGCAATTAACATGAAATGGTTAATATTATAACAACCTAGTCTAATTTGATTAACCAACCACACAGACTGACACTCCCAGCTTTCAAATAGTGTATTGACAACTTGGGGCAAAATGTGCCATCTATTCACTAGGGCAGAGCATTTGTACTGAAAGGAGCGTTTTCAGTACAAATATGTACTGAAAAATGTACTAGTTTTGTTTCAGTACAAATTTAAGTATATTTTTGTACTGAAAAATGCACTGAATTTTTTCAGTATATTTTTCAGTACAAATTCATGTACTGAAAAATATACTGAATTTTAAGTACAAATTTAAGTATAAATATGTACTGAAAAATGTACTGAATTTTAAGGACAAATTTAAGTGCAAAAATATACTGAAAAATGCACTGAAAATTTAAGGATAAATTTAAGTACAAATATATACTGAAAAATGTACTGAAATTTAAGTGCAAAAGTCAGTATAAAAATGTACTGAAAAATATACTGAAATTCAAGGATAATTTTAAGTATAAATATATGCAATGAGAAATATTTGTGCCCAATAATGGAAATAAGAGAAAACGTAAATGTAAGGCATACTTTATAAACTCTAAATCACTCAAAAAGTTCTTAGAATGGTGAAAAGTGCATGATTTTAAAAGAATTTTTGGCTGGGGGGGGGGGGGGGTTCGCTTGGACCCCTGAACCCCCCCCCCCACCCCAGGAATGCTATTACATTATGAAATTATTTTGGATGCTTCCTTTACAGCAGACTTTAACCAAACTTAAAAGAGTCTCTCTGTAATCAGGTTTGTTTTGCCTTGTCAAAATATTTTGTTTTGTTAATGGATTAATAAAGTTTCTTCAGACACATCCTTTGAAGCAGACTCCAATCAAACTGGAGAGGCTAGGTTTACTGTAATCAAGTGTTTTCCTTTTAATAATTAAGTTATGTTTTTGGATTAAATTATTTAAGACGCATCCTGTAATAATATCTGATTGCATTTTCTCCATCAATAAATTTCTTTTTAGCCCGATCAAACCTATCAAATATAATGCATATATAAGGGTTATGTACTGGGAGGTTTTGGATACCCATATTTCCTGAGGGATAAACCCTTTATTTAAAACTGATCGTACATAACATGTGTATTCCATACCTTTTGAGGTTTCTAGATACATTCTACCTTATTAAGTTCTAAAATTCAAAAACATTAAAGGTACACATTTTCTCAGTCTTAAAAATAAGTTTTTCATGAGATTTTCACTCATATTGCTTGAGCAAATTAATTAATTGATATCAAAATTAAAATATATAACATGAACATAGAACCTCATTTGTTAGAGTATAGCAAAATCCATGGTATAGATGTCAAAGTCAGGAAGATGTCGAAATTCAAAATCTAAGTATATTTTTCAGTATAAATTTACACTTAAATATGCCCTTAAATTTCAGTATATTTTTCAGTACATATTTGCACTTAAAATCACACTTAAATTTCAGTATATTTTTAAGTACATATTTGCACTTAAAATCACACTTAAAGTTCAGTATATTTTTCAGTATAAATATATACTGAAAAATGTACTTAAAATTTCAGTACATTTTTCAGTACATATTTATACTGAAATTTGCACTGAAATTTTAAGTATATTTTTCAGTATATACTTAAAAATTCAGTAAATTTTTCAGTACATATTTGTACTGAAAACGCTCCTTTCAGTACAAATGCTCTGCCCTAGTGATTTGCTTTATTCTTTTGCTCTGGCACCTTTGTTGCCCTTTACATTGTGACATTGACCGTTTGTTCGTGTTAAAAGAAGTATCAAAACCTCATCACTTAAAAAAGGTGGCATCAAAACAAAAAAGACACATACCATGCTTAAATTCTGCCATAATCCTGAAAACTGTTATCTTACTTTAATACTCGCTAAATGTTTATTCTGTTACATCTCCCCTTTTATATATCATATTTAAAATCCTTTTAATTAAATCCAAATTCATGCAAGTTTGATTTACATCTTGTATGATCATGGAGCTAAATGGTATTTTTCAATATTGTTGCTGTTATCTACATGCTGCAGATGATATTAAACAACCGTTAATAACTGTTTGAATTTAAACTCAAATGACTCATTGAATGAATGTTTATATTAATAATTACATATTGGTTTTTTATTTTAACGCATGTGTATTTTTAACTGACAATTCTAACAGGTAATGTTTTAAACTGAAGGAATATTTACATGTATAATATTAGTAATAACACACTGGATTTTTTATTTTAATGAATGCGAAGGGCAATTCTAACAGGCAATGATTTAAATTGATTGTTTAATGTTAGAAAATGTAGAACCATGGCTTTGCCTTGTACTCAAGGGATGCTTCTAAAGTCACAATAAGCAAAACAAAGTAATTTGTATAAACACTTTTGAGCTAAAAATTTGAACATCCCTTAACAGTAACAGAACAGATTTGATTCAAGAATACCTTACATGAGTTACAATATTAACATGCCTTAGTGACTCAGTTGTGGAAGGGCCAGGGCCTTGGGGGAGAGAGAATGCTTGATGAAACATTATTTTTGGCCTCAGGAATGTAAGTTGTTAGACTTAGTGATAACTGACAACTGGGACATTGACCCAATCAAATTATTGTGCTACTTATTGGCACTGGGAATCTGCGCCAATGGTACGGGGAAGGGGGAGGCTAAAGTGGACACCAACCCTAATTTAACCATTAGTAGTCTCTAATAGAAGGGCATTTGAAGGCAAGTGAATAGCACATGGGTGATACTATTAGGCTGTCAAATCAGAATTTCAGGAAATTACCAATGGTTGTGATGTAAAAAATGTTGATTTAATTGGCAAATGAACTAATTTGATTGGATAACTGAGATAACAGGTACGAATTACTTAGCTATGTTTTCCTTACAGAACTGTTTGCAGGTAGGGGCGCCACGGGCGCTGGTTTGAAGATTTTGGACTATATTTCACCCTGAAATTATTTATAAATGATAGAATCTATCTTTAAAATTGAGCTTTAAAGCGCTTAAAGAAAATGAGTACTGAGAATAAGATGATGTATATGGAACTGAGATGGCATGTGGCACGGAAATGATGTGCAACTTCGGAAGAACCAATAATTTAAAAGTACTCAGTGACGGCAGAATAGTGCACATGCTATCTATTGCAAGACTTATGCCTGGCACAACCATCACCATGTTATTATGTGTGTTTAAGTTTCGCAAGGATCCTGCCATGACCATGGTATTGTTAATGTGAAAGCCTGGTATAACCGTGACAAGCTATATTAAATTGCAAGGCCTGACATGACCGTGGTAATGTTAAAGCCTGATATGACAGTGACAATGCTATATTATATTGCAAGGCCTGTCATGGTAATGTTAAAGCCTTATATGACTGTGGCAATGGTTGTAAGGCATATCATGACCGTGGTAATGTTAAACCCTGATATGACCGTGACAATGTTCACATTCTTGAATGAGATTAGAATTATAGTTTGTGGAAATGAATTTATTATGAGTTAAAGTAGTAGTACATGTAGTAGTAGTCTAGATATACATATTTAAGGTAGATAAACGATGAAACTTTTCATTACAGTATTCTCATGCTACTATATCTAAATGTCAATAATATAACCATTGTCACAGTCATATTGTAACTAATTTGCAACTAAAGAAAGCATAGCACGGGAGTTTAACCCAATCACGGCAACAATAAAGTTCAGATTAATAAATGAAAGCCGTGGTATTGTGTTTAACTTGTTGAACTAGGCAGGATCCTTGCGAAACTTAAAAACGCTTAATAACATGGTTTGGTGACGGTTGTGCCACTGCCAGGCATAACTTCATAAGTCTTGCAACAGATAGGGTCTCGAATAGGGATCCTGTCATTTATCTCCACTTTAGTTTATAGGGCACATTGAAGATCTAGCCTACCCTACCCCTTACATTCTATCGAGCTGACACAAGTCAGACAGACAGAAGGCTTTTGAGCCAGCTGTGTTCAGTAACCTATAAATGTGGGGTGAAAAATCAACACAAAAAAGTGACATTTGTTTTAAAATCGATTCATCAGAGAAAAAGACAGTCCGATAAATTCTAGGGCCTCGGTTAAGCCTATCATTTATAAATTGTACTTGAAGTCTAGCCTAGAATGAAATTCAAAAAATTAAAAATCAGAAAATCAAATCGAAAAAAATCGTAAAAAAAGTCAACTCACTCGGCTTCGAATGTCCATCCTCGACGTCCACCATTGTTGTGTTGGCTAATCCTGAGATAATCAACTCTATTCTTATATGAACATTGAGCTATGCTATCTGACGTATCGATAAATATACTAATTGCAACAAAAAATAAAGATTAGCTTATTATGACTTCTACCCGCTCAGAAATTTGAATTCGGCCCGTTGCATTGTGGGTCAAGTGCCCGTTAGAGCGCCACCAATTGGATAGTGCTAAAACCAAACTGCTCACAGGTTAGTCATTTTAGACTATATTTTCACATTTAGATGGCGTTGCAACCTATGATTATACGAGGGTACTCGTAATTCCCCGGGAGTAATTATCTAAATGCTGGTTCGGATGTGGGAAGTAACAAGGGGGGGGGGGGGAGATTTCATGCCAAAGAAAAAAACGTCCGCGCTTGCGCGGGAAAGATTTTTGGGACCCTAAAACCCAAAAGTGGGCCTAAATTTGGAAATTTTGAGGCCCATTTTCGTCATAAGGAGTTGTATCGATATGGAGAACTTTTTGAACACACGTTTCTCTTAAACCAGTCATAAAATCTAAAACACATCGTCAATTAAGGGTCATCTTTTGAATGGTAACACTAATGATTTGAAAAATATATACAATATAGAAAAACTAAGCCATAGATATAGCAGACTCGATGTAAGGAAAAATGTATTCGGAAAAAGAATCGTCAACACATGGAACAATCTTCCCCAATCTGTAATAGACACCCGGGGAATATACACCACGGATATAAATCAATTCAAGAATGGAATTGATAAGCACCTGATGAGACAGAAATTTCTTCTCTAAATCGATACATATCCATTGGCCTGAAATTAAAAAACAAGGCTAAAAAGGCCCAGTAATGACCAAAAAGGCCAACTTTTTTGGGGCCTGAAGGCCTTTTTTGGCAGAACATTTTTGGGCCCAATTTTTTTTCTGGGCCCACCCAAGGGGGGGGGGACTGGGGGCCCGGGCCCCAGATCCAGATCCGCCAGTGAAATGCATGGTTAAATATTGGATATACCTAGACAATTTACCCAAAAAAGTCTAAGCTTCATCATCATCATCATCATATCTTGGCTACCGCCATATTTGTTTTTTTTCCGTATTTTACATTCGAAGATAGAGCCAGAAACCCCTCCTTTGAGGAGCCCTGTGTTCTTTTGAGTGCACAGGTACACAGACATACAGGTACACACCACAGCCTTTTATACGAGTCGTGAACCACTCAGTCAAACACCCAGAATTACATAACGCACAAACAAACTTGTCTACACCGGGAATCGACCCGGGGCCAAGCGATATTGGTAACTTGACCCTGCCACTGAGTCATAGCGGTTGGACTTTGCTTACTTTACAAAGTTAGCTTTATTTATTAAATCAGAATTCGAAAATCTGAATTGGTTCAAATGCATTAAGAAATGCCTTGAACTATTAATATCGACATTACGACTAAGAACCAAATCAAACCCCTACTAAACAAGTTAACCGTACATTACAATAAATTATGGAAATTCAAAATATCTTCTGGTCAAAACCCAAGATATAACTAGACATGTAAATTGAACAAGTTCAATTTAAGACTCCAGATTGATTTACTTGAGTAAAGAGCTGAGTAAGTAACTGAGTAGGAAGCTGAGTACGTAGATGATTAAGTAATTGAGTAAGTAGATGAGTAGGTAGCTGAGTAAGCAGCTGAGTAGGTAGCTGAGTAAGTAGCTGAGTAGGTAGCCAAGTAGCTGAGAAGTAGGTAGCTAAGTAGGTAGCCAAGTAGGTATGTAGGTAGGTAGGTAAGTAGGAATTTTTGACCGGAAGTCGGATTGAAATTTGGTTTGCAGATTCGGATTCCTGGGAAAATTTTACCTTTAATTCATAACTCATAAGGGATATTTTGAGAATTTTTTATTTTGACCTATTTTTAGGACCCCATATCTCAAAAGTGGGTCAAAATACTTTGTGACGGCAAAAGGCTAACACTATAAGCACACTCTTTGCTACCTGTATACAAAATTTCGAAGTAAATCATTAAAGTGTAATGTCAGAATCGCAAAAATAAGGAAAAACTATGAATTTGACCTAGATTTTGACCTAGGCATTTTGGTGTCCAAATTTTAAAGCTAGATAGGCTTCGGGGTCCCCTTCTTTCATAGGCTTTCAGAATGTTAAGCTGTATTCAGTCTATATCTTGTATTTTACACTTTAAAAAAATCTTTTTTCTCATTGACATAACATGGGGCACCAAATTTAGCGATTTTCGAGCCATTACTTTGGAACCAATAGTTGGATTGAAATCTGGTTTGCAGATTCGGATTTCTGAGAAAATTCTACCCCTAATTCATAACTCATACGTTAAATTTGGCGAATTTTTATTTTGACCTACTTTTCGGACACGCCATAACTTTAGAATCGGAAGTCGGATCGAAATTTGGTTTGCAGATCCGGATTCCTGAGAAAATTCTACTCTTAATTCATAACTCATATGTTAAATTTGGAGAACTTTTTATTTTGACCTACTTTTCGGACACCATATCTCAAAAGTGGGTCAAAATACTCTCTGACGGCAAAAGGCTTACACTATTAGCACACTCTTTGCTACCTGTATATAAAATTTTGAAGAAAATTATTAAAGTGTAGTGTCAGAATCATAAAAATAAGGAAAAACTATGAATTTGACCTAGATTTTGACCTAGGCATTTTTGTGTCCAAATTTTGAAGCTATGTAGCTTTTGAGGTCCCCTTCTTTTACAAAAGTTCATTATGTTGAGCTGTACCCAGTCTATATCTTGTACTTTACACTTCGAAAAAGTCTTTTTTCCCATTGACTTAACATGGGGCACCAAATTTAGCGATTTTTGAGATTTCAAAACGCCATAACTTCCGAACCGGCAGTCGGATCGAAATTTGATTTGCAGATTCAGATTCCTCAGAAAATTCTACCCTTAATTCATAGCTCATACGTTAAATTTGGAGAACTTTTTATTTTGACCTACTTTTCGGACACCATATCTCAAAAGTGGGTCAAAATACTTTCTGACGGCAAAAGGCTAACACTATTAGCACACTCTTTGCTACCTGTATACAAAATTTTGAAGTAAATTATTAAAGTGTAGTGTCAGAATCGTTAAAATAAGGAAAAACTATGAATTTGACCTAGATTTTGACCTAGGCATTTTGGTGTCCAAATTTTGAAGCTATGTAGCTTTTGAGGTTCCCTTCTTTTGTAAGCATTCATTATATTAAGCTGTACTCAGTCTATATCTTGTATTTTACACTTCGAAAAAGTCTTTTTTCCCATTGACTTAACATAGGCACCAAATTTAGCGATTTTTGAGCTTTCAAAACGCCATAACTTCCGAACCGAAAGTTGGATCGGAATTTGGTTTGCAGATTCGGATTCCTGAGAAAATTCTACTCTTAATTCATAGCTCATACGTTAAATTTGGAGAATTTTTTATTTTGACCTACTTTTCGGACACCATATCTCAAAAGTGGGTCAAAATACTTTCTGACGGCAAAAGGCTAACACTATTAGCACACTCTTTGCTATCTGTATACAAAATTTTGAAGCAAATTATTAAAGTGTAGTGTCAGAATCGTAAAAATAAGGAAAACTATAAATTTGACCTAGATTTTGACCTTTGACCTAGATAAAAATTTAACCTAATTTCCCAGAAACTAGATCTCATCTCCTTACTGACCCTGTAAGTAGATTTGAGTAAAATCTTCTAGTTGCTGAGAAAACTGGTTCGGAAAGAATAATAATAACTAGATTTGTGAAATTGAACAAGTTCAATTTAAGACTCCAGATTTATTTTACCTAGATAGATCAGTAAAGAGCTGAGTAATTAACTGAGTAATTAGCTGAGTAAGTACCTTAGTAGTAGTTGAGTAAGTAGCTGAGTAAGTAACTGGGTAAAAAGCTGAGTAGGTAGCTTAGTAAGTAGCTGAGTAAGTACCTGAGTTAGTAGCTGAGTAAGTAGCTAAGTAAGTAATAACTAATTAAGCAATTGAGTAAGTAGTCAAATAAGTAGCTGAGTAGGTAGGGAGGTAAAGTAGGGTATGTAGGAATTTTTGAAAGTTTATTTGATCAATCTGCATCGTGAATACTGGCAAGTGCGAATTTCAAACTTCAAAATGGCTTAGAATCTTAACCGGGGGTCGGATTGCAATTTTAATTTCAGATCCGGATTCCTTAGGAAATTCTACCCCTAATTCATAACTCATACGTTAAATTTGGAGAACTTTTTATTTTGACATACATTTCGATCACCATATCTCAAAAGTGGGTCAAAACACTTCTTGACGGCAACAAGTTAACATTATGAGCACACTCTTTGCTACATGTATACAAAATTTCGAAGAATATCATTGAAGTGTAGTGTCCGAATTGCAACAATAAGAAAAAACTAAGAATTTGACCTAGATTTTGAACTAGGTATTTTGGTGTCCAAATTTTGAAGGAAAGTAGCTTTTGAGGTCCCCTTCTTTTATGGGCTTTCATTATGTTTAGCTGTACTCATTCTATATCTCGTATTTTTACACTTCAAAAAATTTAGCGATTTTTGAGATTTCAAAACGCCATAACTTCAGAACAAGAAGTCGGATCGAAATTTGGTTTGCAGATTTGGATTCCTGAGAAAATTTTACCTTTAATTCATAACTCACACATTAAATGTGGATAGTTTTTATTTTGACCTACTTTTCGGACACCATATCTCAAAAGTGGGTCAAAATACTTTCTGACGGCAAAAGGCTAACACTATGAGCATACTCTTTGCTACCTGTATACAACATTTTAAAGCAAATCATTTGAATATAGTGTCAGAATCGCAAAAATAAGGAAAAACTATGAATTTGACCTAGATTTTAACCTAGGGATTTTGGTGTCCAAATTTTGAAGCTAAGTAGCCTTCGAGGTCCCCTTCTTTAATAGGCTTTCATTATATTAAGCTGTACTCAGTTTATATCTCCTATTTTACACTTCAAAAAAATCTTTTTTCCCATTGACATAACATGGGGCAGCAAATTTAGCGATTTTTGAGCTTTCAAAACGCCATAACTTCCGAACAGGAGGTCGAATCAAAATTTGGTTTGCAGATTCGGATTCCTGATAAAATTCTACCCCTAATTCATAACTCATACGTTAAATTTGGAGAATTTTTTAGTTTGACCTACT